TGGAAATGCAGAGTGATTCTGGATGACTGAAAGAAAGCTCAGAAGAGCCATGAGGAGTCCCAGAGCTAGAACCAGGAAGCGGAGGAACACCTGGTCCCACATGCCTCTGGGGCAGGTTTCTACCCAGCTCAGTGTCACTCCTACAGACCTCTAGGTGCCACTGTAGGAGGGTACTTTGCCTCCATGTAGTGCTGAGGACATGGTGTTGGCGAGCTCCTTGGGAGGAGAGGCCCTGCCACCCAAGCATCTCTTTGTCCCTGGCACCCAGCACAGGGCCTCGCACACAGAACCCAGTGCTAGTAGAGCTGCTCTATTGATTCCAACAGAACAGATTTCTCGGTATTACTGGACCTGCACCGCCCAGTGTGGTGGCCCCTAGCCACAGGAGATCACACAGCAGTGGAGGTGCGGCTGGAGAAGAGGAACTGAAATGGGCCGTCAGGGCAACATATACATAAAATGTCAAGGACTTAGCACAAAATAAGCTATCTCACTAATAATTCCTACATTGATTACATGTTGAGATGATAATACTTGGGGTTTAGGTTAAATGACGTGATTATTAAAATTAATATCACCTGTTTTGAATTTTTTACCATGGCTACTAGAAGATTTAAGATTATTTTTAGTAAATTAAGGCTAATTCTCATGTGCAAAACACGTTCAATCTCTTGTTTTTCTAAGTTCTTTTTAGTAGCATGGACAATTTCCTTCTAACGAGGTTTCCATTCAGCCTGTGTTCAGAATATCCGAGTCACATATACAAATACTTGTCAAACTGTATCATCAGTATGTCTCACACTTTGGAAGATTTGCTGTTTTGAACAAGAAACAATAATCGCCACTCTTGCTGTATCAAAGTCTTCCCAAGGGCATGTGATATGCGTGCAGCCAACACTTAAATAGCTCTTCAGTTTCTGGCTCCAAGCACTTGGGCTTATCCTCTCTCCCCCCTCAGCCTTGGCACCCTGGGCAGCTCCCTCCCATCGCAGCTCTTTCCACTGACCTCAGAAGGGGGCTGGCTCAAATAACACACTTGTCAAAACACCTAGGTAAGCACTGCGCTGGCGGGCCCGCAGAAATAGCCGTGAGGAGACAGAGTGCTCCGTGCAGACAAGAGGAACCACGCGCGGGCCCCTCCGCCTTTCTAAGGCTTGGCTCCCACGTGATTGGTCGACTGTGAAGGTCACTAATCGTCTCCATTCTGTCCGCTTAGGCAGGCCTGCTCTAGTGGGCACTGACAAAGCTCAACTGATTTGTAAGCTTTGGGTCCTGCTGTAACGAAAATCCTCCGTGCTGAAGTAGGGAAAGTAAAGTTGCCCAAGGCCAATGATCCGGAACAAAACTGAAAAGTTTCTACACGATCCGGGGACGGTGGAGCGAGCTGGGCATCACGGGTCCTCGGGGAGAAAAGCTCCGAAGGCCGGCAGAGCACCTGCTCGCCTGTCTCAGACGCCGCGAGTCTGAAACGTTTAGCTCAGAGTTTGGCACATGGTACGTGTTCAAGAAATGTCTTTCGCATGAAAATGTGAATACACAGGCGTTTGTTATCTACAGGAACCCCGCAGTCACCACCTTTTTGTTTTTCTTTTTTGTGTTTTTAAGCCCTGTGTGGTACAGCAGACAGAACAAGGCTTTCAAGTTTTACTCAAAATCAAACCTGAGTCCCCCCACGGCCTGCAAAGCACTGCACGGCTGCAACCCGACTCCTTCAGGCTCAGTCTGACCACTCCAGCCCCCTCTCCAGCCACCTGGCCTCCTTGTCGCCTCAGGCCAGTCCCACGTTCCTGCCACAGTGCGCTTGCACCTGCCCCTTCTTGCCTAGAACACACATTCCTCCAGCCCCTGCTCAAATGTCACCTCACCAGGACGGCTATCCTCACCACCCTAAACCAAAATAGCTCGGTGTATGTCTTCATACAGCTCACGGGTTACGTGGACCTCTTACGTGGCTGTCGGTTCCCGGAGGGCTGGGACCGCGTTCACTGCCCCTTCCCTCACGCCTGGAGTGCCGGGCGCGTATCTGTTGGGTGAAGAAGCTACCGAACATCAGACTGCGCCAGACACGGGCCTGGTCCTCACTCTACCCGGAGGAAGCCGCGTGACGGCCCCGACAGGCAGGCCCTGACGCCCGTTGTGAGTCTGTGGTGCTGGCTGGGAAGGGATGGATCTAAAGCCCGCCTTTGGCAAACGGCCTTGAACGCAGTTGTAGCAACACAAGGATCCTTGTGGACATTCACGAACTGCTCTTGCTCGGGGCACAAAACCTGCCCTTTCCAGTCCCGCAGGTGGGATGGAGCCCGGGACGCGCACCCTCCTCCCACAGACCTTCCTTTCATGTCTGCCTGCGCTCCACGGAGCGCGGGAACTGTGAGGACAACCACGGACCCCCAGGGATTTTTGTGACCCAGTACCTGGCGCGGTCCGTGGCAATAGCAGGCACCCCCCAAATGCTGAGGCCTCAGGCGCCTCAGGTCACAGACCTATGGGGACCAAGCCCGCGCCGGCCCGCGCTGGTGAAGAGTGGGCGGGAGGACTCAGCTGAGCGAGAGCCACGCAGGCCTGCGCACAGCCACACCGTTTACTCCTGTGACGATCTGCAGGTCACCATGCTCCCAGATGAGAGCCCGGCTCGCTGCGGACAGTGCTTGCCCGCGACAGGCTGACAGGCCTCAGACCCAAGCCTGGTGCCACAGATCAGAGCCACGCCACAGTGGTGTCCCCGACTGGAGGTGCGGGGCGCTTTGGGCACCTTCAGATTTTCAGATCAGTCCAGAAAGTGGCTACAGACAAGGCCACATATTATACCCAGAGGCATAAAGAAAAGGGTTACAAGCACCTTTTTCCCTTCTAAATATGTTTAAAGGGTTGGTTTTTTTCTGATAATAAAATGTACTATGTTCTTGTTTTAGAAAAACTGAAAAGTTCAGATAAATATAAAAAAAACTCTAAGAGACATCCACTATTAGCTTCTTTTTAATCTTAAGGGTGACTTTTTAACATAACTCTTATTAACTTTTTAACCTTTTCCCACCATTCTAAATTGTACTGACACCATTCTAAATTGTACTGTGAAGAACTTGTCTCACATTCAGTCCAATCCGTTTCCACTGCCAGGGTCCTCATAAGCAGTATTTTCCAACCAAGCCCCGTGTGGCCACCACTCAGGCTGTTTTCACGTTTTGACTTCCAACTTGCCATTCCAGGAAACACAGACACACACACACACACACACACACACACACAAACAGGCAGCAAGACAGAGCAGGCAGATGGTCTGTCCTTTCCCTGTAACAACTCTTCTAAGCCAAAGTTCGGCCGAGCCACCCTGGTGTCGCCAAGCACTTAAGGAAGGACGGGCAGGACCTGGTGAACACGCAGGCTCACATCCTGGTTCTTCTACGAGGCCTGACTGTGGCTGGAGGCTGTAGGAACGAGATCCGGGTTGCAGTGCGCCTGTGGCCAGGTGGCCAGGCCTCTGTGGGGGACGAGCCCCGAGCAAGGCGGGAAGCAGGCTAGTCCCTCGTTCTCACTCCCGCTCCTCAGGGCACACTCCGAATCTCACCTCTGTCTCGGGAAACCACAGAACTTTAGGCCTCGAGGCAAGGCTGGCGAACACCCGGCTCGAAGGCCTTGGAAGGGCTGTGAAACCACCCGGTCTGGCCCTGCCAGGCCAACCGCAGGCGGGCCTCGATGCAGTCCATCTGCAGCAGGCTCATGTTTCAGGTGGTCATTTTGTAGGGCCCTCAGATGATGCCGTGAACACCCCACTGGCCCTTGGCAGAGAAAGCGTTGCCAGCCCTGCCTTCCAGGAAGCTCAGGCACCGCAGAAGCTCGGAGCCCAGCAGCACTCGGGCAGGAGGGACTGGGGTCCCAGGGCAGCCTCCCCGATCTCCCCCGGGCCAGCCACAGCAGCGTCTCCTTCCCGGTGCCTCCACCCTGGTCCAAGCCCCAGACAGCGCCTTCCTCCCGCCACTGCCTCCTGGAAATGGACTTCCTCGCCTGCCCGTCACACCGCTGACTGTGACCACGACACAGCAGGGAGTGCCACACTGGGGCCACGGTCCTAGTGTCAACCACTCAATGTGTTCCAAATGCCGATCGCAGTCTCAGTGGCCCCTCCTCACCCACGCCACGCCACGCCACGCCACCAAACCAGCCCTCAGCGGCTCAAGGCTCCCCTCCTTTCCTCCTCCCAGTCTCTGCCTGGCGCGCATCTCACCGCCAGGCGGTTTGAGGCTACCTGTGAGGGCCAGCAGCGCCATGCCCAGCCGTCACATTCGCAGTGCAGTGTAAGTGCAGGGGAACTCAGGTTCTCCTGGGCTAACTTTCTGGGGTGAGGACGTGAGGATCCCAAACTCCACCAGGAAGAAGGGGACTAAGGCCGGCGTTGGCAGATTTCCCCTTCTCAGTCCCTCCCGCCAAGGCCAGTGCACTCCGCCATGTTCCACAGGTGCCTGCTTGCTTCTTGCCCCACGCGCCTCCCTCCCGGGGGGTCTCCGCAGCCCCACGGCCACGCTCCCTCCCGGCTTCCCACGGCGCGCAATGCACTGAGCCCCTCGAGGAGCAGGGGCTGCCCGCCTCCCCTGGGCGAACAGCGGCCGCAGCCGGCCCTCCCCGCCGAAATCCGCATCATGCACCCTCCTCGCTCAACCTGCGGTGGAGACAGCCCTGGCCGGCCGCACACACGGCGCCCGGACCTCCAGAAAGCCAGACCGGGAGCCGGGGGCCGCACCGCCTGCACGGGGAGCCCGCCTGCACCCCAGCACTCGGGCCCATGCTTACACACACACACACAGTGCGTGCGCCGCACCAAGTCCCCCCAGACGGAGCCGCCCGGCCACGTCCAGGCCCGCGGAGGCGCCCAGCCCCTCTGCGCTTAGGCGGGACCCCCGGTGGGCGCGGGGAGCTGGGGGTGCCGCTCGCCCCCCCCCACCCCCCAGCACCGCTCCCCACGGCGTCCGCGCGGCCCACCCGAGGGAGGCCGCAGCGCCCGCTACCTGGCGCCCGGCTCCTCGTCCGACTCCGCCGCCGTCCCGTCCTCCTCTTCCTCCTCCACCTCCTCCTCCTCCTCCTCCTCGCTGGCCAGCTCGCGGGCCGCCTCGTCGTCCCCGTCGGAGCCGAGGAGGCTGGCGTCGGCGTGGTTGCTGTCGCTGGTCGCCATCGTGCCTTCGGGCGGGCCGGGGCCGGAGCCGGAGTCGGAGCCGTCCGCGCCGCGCCTGCTCTCCTCCCTCTGTGCGGCCCGGCCGGCCCGGCCCGCGGCTCGGCTCGGGTTGCGGGCGCGGGCGGGGCGGGGAGCCGGCGACTTTAAATAGAAGTCGCGGCCGAGTGTGGCCGGCAGCGCTCGCCCTCCCCGCGCGCGCCCACTTCGCTGGCCCCTGCGGCCCGTGCCCCGGTGGGGAAACTGAGGCAGCCGACGCTCTCGCTGCTGTGGCCTCGGGACCGTGGGAAGCAGGGCCGGGGCTGCCTCGCCGTCTCGCGTGGCTGAGGAATGGCTCCTGTCATGGGCGTAGTCAGCCGTGCACTGTCGTCCTCGGTGGCCCCGGACTGTTCGGCCAGGAAACCTCCTGTGCGCTCACTCCACACCTGAGGGCTGATTTTCCTCCCATTAGCCAGAGGCTAACTGTTCTCTGCAGCGCTGCCCAAAGACCCCCTCCGGGCCTGAGTTCGTGCCAAGCCAGTGTCTAAAGCCCCTCCACGTGCCCGCACTGCTCAGGACGAAGCCCACGGGCCACCTGTCAACACCCATCGCACCTGCCCGCTCCGTGCTTTCGACCCAGGAGCGCCCACCATGGTCTCGAGTCACTCCACCGTGCCTTCATCCACACCTAAGGGGTCTTCCTTCTTGAGTTACCCGGTTACCCAGTGTTCAGCTTCACCACCTTTCTCTAAAATCCCAGGCTCAACTCAGTACGCCTCTTTCTGGTTGCCCCATCATCCTGCGTTCAAAGGACATGTATCTCGTGGCCTAGGTAGTCTGTAGGTTGATTACTCATTCCCGTTCTTCACAAGCCCGTCAACTAGCCAAGTACCTACTGGACAGCTACACACGCACAACAGGTGGAGACAAAGACACCTCTTCATGGCAGTGGTCTTAAGGCTAGGGCAGCAAACGTTTATTGTCGATGACAGCAAATCCTATCGTCAGAGTTGCTGAATACAATGAATGTAGTGTGCGCATTATTTGCCAGTTGCACTAGCTTGCATGCACCCACCATTGTGGTGGAATGAGAAGGTGAGAAGGTCATGCCAAGATGGCCTGACAACAGAAACTGCCTGGCAACAGGCCGTGATGGGATGGCTTCGGAAACCACATGACAACAGAGCCTGACTAACAACAGGCTGTGATTGGATGGTTTCAGAAACTGCCTGCAACAGAGCCTGACTGGCAACAGGCTGTGATTGGATGGCTTTGGAAACTGCCTGGCAACAGGCTGTGATTGGCTGGGGCATAGACCGCCCCTTGACCGGATTGGCTGCCTTGGCTATATAAGCAGTTGTAGCAACTGAAATAGACGAGTCTGCTGGGGCTGGCCTCTGGCCCACTTTCACCTGACTCCCGGGGTCTGTGTGGTGACCCCAAGCTTCTTGCCCCCACCGCCCTCCACTTCTCAATGAATCCTCTCAGAAAATGAATGGACCTCAACATGCCTCATCTGCTACAAAGAACTGCCCACAGTTCAGTCACGGTACAGACCCAACCTAGAGGGCTGGAAAAGGGTGGACAGTAGGGTCTACCTGCAGGTGGTCACTAGGGGAACACAACACTCATTAGCAATAGCAGCCTTTCTATGTTCCTTGCTTTAATTCAAAGTGTCTTAGAAACACTACAGTCCACACGATTTGCAAAGATCTTAGTTCAAACCCATCCAAAACTCAGAACTGCAGCACAGTCTGCACATGTGTTATTTACTTTTTTGGTGCCGCGGCTCACTAGGCTAATCCTCCGCCTGTGGCGCCAGCACCCCGGGCTCTAGTGCCAGTCGGGGCGCCAGATTCTGTCCCGGTTGCCCCTCTTCCGGTCCAGCTCTCTGCTGTGGCCAGGGAGTGCAGTGGAGGATGGCCCAAGTGCTTGGGCCCTGCACCCACATGGGAGATCAGGAGAAGCACCTGGCTCCTGCCATCGGATCAGCGCGGTGCACCGGCAGTAGTGGCCATTGGGAGGTGAACCAACGGAAAGGAAGACCTTTCTCTCTCTCTCACTGTCCACTCTGTCTGTCAAAAAAATAAATAAATAAAAAGAAAGAAAGAAAGAAAGGCAGAATCAGAGACAGATTTCTTATCTGCTAGTCCACTTCCCAAATGCCTGTAATAGGTGAGGCTGGACCAAGCCAAAGCGAGAAGCCAAAACTGTTTAGATCTCCCACATGGACCGCAGAGACCCAACTGTTTGAGTAAACACTGCTACCTCCAAACGAATTAGCAGGAAAGTGGAACACAGGGCAGAGCCAGGACTCAAACCCAGGTACTTTGATGTGGGACGCGGGCACCAGAAGACTGCACATTCTTAAGACCACATGCAAATACACAAGAGATCAACAAAGAAATGGAAATCTAATATTTACCCCACAACTGAGACTGAAAGTACCTACAACGACAGCTTGTTTAGGCTAATCCTCCACCTGCGGTGCCGGCACACCGGGTTCTAGTCCCGGTTGGGGCGCCGGATTCTGTCCCGGTTGCTCCTCTTCCAGGCCAGCTCTCTGCTGTGGCCAGGGAGTGCAGTGGAGGATGGCCCAGGTGCTTGGGCCCTGCACCCGCATGGGAGACCAGGAGAAGCACCTGGCTCCTGGCTTCAGATCAGCGTGGTGCGCCGGCTGCAGCGCCCCAGCCGCAGCGGCCTTTGGGGGGTGAACCAACGGAAAAGGAAGACCTTTCTCTCTGTCTCTCTCTCTGTCCACTCTGCCCGTCAAAAAAAAAAAAAAAAAAAAAATCTCACACACTGACAGCCTACCCCCCCACCGGCCTCCCCAAGGGAGCAGGATCTTAGGCTTCAGCCCACTGACTTCAAATTCAGCTGCAGTCTATCAATCTCTGGACCTATTTGTTACAGTAACACAGCTTTTTTTTTTTTTTTTTTTTTGAGATAGAGAAAGGTCTTACTTCCATTGGTTCGCCCCCCCAAATAGCCAGCGCTGCGCCAATCCGAAGCCAGGAACCAGGTGCTTCTTCCTGGTCTCCCATGCAGGTGCAGGCGCCCAAGCACTTGGGCCATCCTCCACTGCCCTCCAGGGCCACAACAGAGAGCTGGACTGAAAGAGGAGCAACCGGGACTAGAACCTGTGGCCCATGTGGGATGCCAGCGCCGCAGGTGGAGGATTAGCCAAGTGAGCCACAGCGCCAGCCCAGTAACTCAGCTTTTAAGAGGCAGGGATAAGGGTGGGACCACTGAAGGCTGGGAGAACAGTGGCAGTGCAGGGTCCACACAGTGGTAAACTCCAGGGGTATCAAGCAAAGCAAGCACCCCACCCCTCACCCAGCTGCAGGGCGCTGCAGTGTTACTGAGTGCCGGACTATGTTTTACCCACTCCCCACCAGAACATCAACTACGCTTGGCACATCCTCACAAAGAAAAGCTGCACAGTGCGTAAGAAATTTCAGGAAAATTTCCAAGGAAAAGAATATAAAAGCTTAATTGTGTCAAAAGTACTACATATCAGTAACCTTAAAAAATTCACCTTAATTCACTTATGTGGAAATTCCTTCCTAATAATTCCAGAGAAATAAGGTGTTAATGTGCTTACGTGGCTTAACCACAAAACAACCTCATGCTGAGATTTTCTGTATTATCTAAATCATCAAGCACAATATATTTAAAAATTTATACTTAGTAATTAAAATTAAATATTTATACTTAATCAAGTACGATAATTGGATTCAATTTAGTTCAAGATAACTACAGCCTCCATCTAACCTCAAAAACAGACTTGCACAGAAAAAAAATCACTTCAACAATTTCCATATATAAACTTTATTCCATTTAACATCATACAAAAATTTGAACTTAAAGGAGAAAATGAAAATATGCACCTTTTACAAGTCAGAGAAAAGCAAGTTTTAGCATTTGAATTGGTCTGCAAAAAATACATTAGAGGTACAAACTGTGCTACAGTAGGTCTAAAAGAAGTTGTACACAGTCCTTCTGAAAAAGTTAAAACTGTTTTCAAGATTTTTTTACATTTACATTTACAGATATTTACACAAATCAAAAACCTTAATAAACACTGTAGCTTTTTTAGCAGCCACCACTTCTTGTGGAAAAGAAATACTAAAAAAGATATTTTTATAAACATTAAGCTCTTATTTATAATTTTTATGTCTTATCTAAAACATTTTGTAGTGGCTTACTGCCTAAAAATTCCAGTTTCGATTACAATCCTGTAACTGTACACAGATAACAAAATCTGAGACTACAGATAGGACATAGCTCCACTCTGATCTTCTCGTTCCCGCTGCTTCATGTGACAGGGGAAATGGGAAGCAAAGCAGAGTGCACACTGCACCACGCTGTCACAGAGCACGGGACAATCCTCTCAAACCCCTGTGCGGAACTGATGCTGTGGGACAAGTCACTAACTGCCGCAAGAGCTAGTGTTCAGTGCCCCAGTGCAAAATGTAACGTTGTCTCAACACAAAATGCAAAGCCGTGAGGTACCAATGGAATGCTAACAGGACACGCTCGAAGCCTCGGACCAGCCCCCCACGTGCAGACAAAGCAACTGTCCAGGGTTTCCCGACTGCGGCCATTTCAGTCACTTCAAGTAACGGGGTGACTGACAGCAGTCTTCACTTTAGGCAACAAACTATCTCTTGGAGGTTACTTCAGCACTCCTCAACAGACCCGCCCCAAATTTCCACACTTCATGTCAGTATTAGCATGTTCAGGTAATCTCCCAAATATATTTTATCTGGTCTCCTGAAAATTCATGACATAATATTACTAATCATTGACATAAACATTTTCAGAAACGTATTTTTAAATCAAAGGGTTTTATTAGGAAATGCCAATAATAAAATATGCAATCTTTATATAAGTATGTCCTTTTAAAAATAAAACATGAAAACCAACAGAACAATCAGAAAGAAACCATGATGGAGGTAAACATAATGCAAATGACACAGCTAATGCTCTTTATTTCTCCGAGGTGACACCAAGAAAGCGACCGGCTATCTTTTCAAGACGGCGGTTCTCAGGGGGAGTATGCTGTTCAAGTCTCTCTTGCTTTTCAATTTGTGCCATGACTGGGAGAGAAAGAGAAATCATTCTTAGAATCCAAAATACATGCACAACAAGCACTCAAAGGCATCTTTAGTGAGTCTCTTCAGGCGGTAAAACTGTGGTTGACTTTTTTCTTCTTTAAGTGTTTTTATTTCCCAAGTTTTTAGTAAGTACATGGATTTTTTCCCCCAAAGAAACCTTTTATTAAAGGAATACAAAATTCATGCATTTCCTACGCACAAAATTAGGAATACAGTGATTCCTCCCAGCCACATCCCCACCCCTCCTCCTCCCTCTCCCATCCCAGTCCCATTCTCCACTACGACTCATTTTCAATTAACTTTATACACAGAACACCAATTCTATACTAAGTAAACAGTTCAACATTTGCACAAAAAATCCAAAAAACTGTTTCAACAGTCCAGACAAGGGCTGTTCAAAGTCACTCTTCTTTAGAAGCTTAATTAACTTTAAAGAAACACCCAAGCACGATCCATCTTTTGGGAGCACCCAGACGTAAGTATAACTTATGAGACGTAAGAATACCCTCCTCTTAATACAATACAAGAAAGTAAGTCCTTGAGAACGAGTTTTATCATCAGTCAAGGAAGCACCTGAGAAAACAAGCAATGAAGATGGACATGTAGACGTAAGTAAAACTTAGGAGGATTGTTTCTGTCTCCAGAAAAGAAAATATTATTTTAAAACTCTGTATCATTGTGGTTCCAATTCATTAATAAACAAATGGGCACACAGGTGGTAGGAAAAGAGACAATGGACAATTTAACATTTATTCACAGATTAAATCAATTACTCTAAAACAGCAATGCATTTAAAACAAAACGTCTGGATTTAAGAGGATAAGGGAAATTACTTCAGTTATCTGACCGTTTTATATTTTTAGTAGCTTTTCCGACTGAAAACATTTACTAAGGAGGAAATAAATCTATAATAAAGCCCATTAAGGTATGCCTCTGAAAAAAACAGTCAATGGAATTTATACAAAAAAAACCCAAAAACCAAAAACCAAACCTGGCATTCTTGATCACAAGCTATTAAGACCTGGCTTCCTAACTTAGTGGATGCATATCTTTGTCATTTTATTTTCACATCAGTTCTTGGACCTACTGACAGGATTGGTTGTACAGCTAAACAATCCAAAATGTTTACCTATCAATAAGACCAACAATGCAGCAATGCTATTTTTGAGTCCTTAATATAACCTAATATACAAAATATTCGAACTTGGGTGTTTGTTCACAGGACAAATGTTCTATTCTGGCTCACCAATGCGGAGGGCCCAATGTGAAGGACAGTTTCTGATACTTGCATTTGTAATTATCACTAGAGTCCACTCATATGTCTAGAGAAGGAAAAGCAGGCCTCTACCCTGCTCACCACAGACTCCGACCTCTGTCTCCTACGATGCACGCCCGCCTCTGGCTCATGGTACTCATGTTTTTAGCTCTGCACTAGGATCTGGATGCCTGAAGACAGGGACCACACCTCGCACCACCACCGGTGAAGACAACGACTTTTGGAACATAGCCACACACAGGTATTTTTTTTTAACGTTTCAGAATGTAAACAAAAATAAACTGGCATCTAATTCCTTGTAAATGTAGGGTATGGGGAAGAAAAAGCGTTAAGTTAGACATTAGCTTCTTCTAAGGCTGAAGTAAATTCCCCAATATTTTAAGCAATGAAAAAGTGTCTGTTCGATTTTATGCACTTATTTTGAGAGCTTACCAAGCTTCCTGTGAAAATGCTTACTTCCAGGAAAGTAAAAGCCATGTGAAGGAAAACACCAGCTCTCTCTGAAGGGAAAGCATCTCTCAATTCAAGCTCTAAATTCCCTTTCATGCTGTATCAATGGCCTCACAAGAGAAACCAAGACCATTCTGTCCTATTACCTTTTTTCCTTTTAAAGCACACTAGTTGCCGGCGCCGCGGCTCACTAGGCTAATCCTCCACCTGCAGCGCCGGCACACCAGGTTCTAGTACCGGTCAGGGCGCCGGATTCTGTCCCGGTTGCCCCTCTTCCAGGCCAGCTCTCTGCTGTGGCCAGGGAGTGCAGTGGAAGTTGGCCCAAGTGCTTGGGCCCTGCACCCCATGGGAGACCAGGAGAAGCACCTGGCTCCTGCCATCAGATCAGCGCGGTGTGCCGGCCGCGACGGCCATTGGAGGGTGAACCAACGGCAAAAGAAAGACCTTTCTCTCTGTCTCTCTCTCTCTCTCACTGTCCACTCTGCCTGTCAAAAAAAAAACAAAAACAAAAAACAAAAAACAAAAAACAAAAAAAAACACACACACAAAAACCACACTAGTCCACTAACATTTCTGAAGTTAATCTGATGAACTGTATACCTTTAAAAACTGATCCTTGATCATGTCAAACTTCTGCTTTTCATGCACAGCTCTGGCTGTATTTGTTCCATCAAAAGGCTCTGAAATGTTAAACACACATGGGAAGAAATTATTTAAATGAGTATGAAACTGATAATATGTGAGGCCTACAAAAACAGTAATTTCATAAGATCCAACCTAACACCTTTATTTGGTTTCTGCTCATAGAAAAGTTTAATATGGCTATGAACTGTTTAATAAGGTAGATGCAATTTAAGTGAGAAGACAAGTAAAAAGTCATCAGCACAGGTGAATCAAGTCTAAACCATACAAGGGAATAAGATATCTGAAGAATTATAGGGCATCGAAGATCTACCCTTAGGAGAATAAATGTAAGTTAAAGAATGAAAAGTCATCAAAAAGAGGGGCCAGAATTGTGGCACAGTGGGTTAAGCTGCTGCCTGCAATGCCAGCATCCCGTATCCCACGTCCGAGTCCTGGGTGCACAACTCGAGTTCAGCTTCCTCCGAAAGCGCCTGGCCCCAGCCACCCTCGTGAGAGACCTGAATGGAATTTCAGGTTCCTGGCTCCAATCTGGCCCAGCCACAACTGTTGAGGCCACTTGGGGAGTGAATAAAGATTTCTTCCTCTTTCTCTCTCTCTGTCTCTCCCTGACTGTAACTCTTTCAAATAAATAAAATAAATCTTCAAAAAAATCTTATGAAAAAAAGTTCTCAAAAAGGAATAAAGCATTATCAGGGCCAGTGCTGTGGCGCAGTGGGTAAAGCCGCGGCCTGCAGTGCCAGCATCCCATATGGGTGCCGGTTTGAGTCCTGAATGCTCCATTTCCAATCCAGCTCTATGGGCTGGGAAAGCGGTAGAAGATGGCCCAAGTCCTTGGACCCCTGCACCCCCATAGGAGAAGCTCCTGGCTCTTGGCTTTTGATCAGTCCAGGTCCAGCCACTGAGGCCATCTGGGGAGTGAACCTGTGGACAGAAGATCTCTCTTTCTGCCTCTGCAATTCAAATAAATAAATAAATATTTTTTAAAACAAAAAGAATAAAGCATTATATTAAAGACTGTTGGTTAATGTCAAGTATCATTGATGATTTTAAAATTTTTTAAAGATTTACTTATTTATTTACAAGGCAGAGTTAGAGGCAGAGGCAAACGGCGGGAGGTGAGAGAGAGGGAGATCTTTTGTCTGCTGGTTCACTCCCCCAAATGGCTGCAACGGGCAAGGCTGTGCCAATCTGAAGCCAGGACCCAGAAGCCACCTCCAGGTCTCCTGCGTGGGTTCAGTGGCCCTAACACTTGGGCCATCTTCTACTGCTTTCCCAGGCCACAGCAGGGAGCTGGATCAGAAATGGAGCACCCAAGACTCAAACTGGCCCCCATATGGGATGCTGGCACTGCATGCCGCGGCTTTACCCACTGTATCACACCGCCGGCCCCTATGGTTTAAAATTGAGCTTTAATTGAAAAGCTGATTTTGTTCAGCAGGAGAAAGGTCAATACCCTTTCAGAGCAGAAGTTCAATGAGAGAGAACATGGAAGACAGTGTAGTGGCTGCTTTAGAAAAAGACTGAAGCCAGGACTTAGATGAGAAATCTGGCAGATAAATAAGAGAAATACAAAACAGCAAGAAGGGAAGATAGGAAGAAAACAAAGAACTGTTAGGTGTATGTGTCTTCCTTCCATGTCAACATCTCCATCCTACCCACTGTGCACCCGAAAGATGAGAGAAGAATCTATGCACAGAAAACAGAAAAGAAAAAACCAGAAGACAAGGAAACCAAAGACAACAGCGAGAAGAGGGGGATGACTGAGGGGCTGGGAGTGAGATGGAATCACCAGAACAATGCCAGCAGTGTATCAGAAATCCAAGATTCAGAAAAATTCCCTTTATTTTTCATTGATTAGAATGGCTATTTTTTTTTTTTTTTTTTTTTTTTTTTTTGGACAGGCAGAGTGGACAGTGAGAGAGAGAGACAGAGAGAAAGGTCCTCCTTTTGCCGCCGGCTCACTCTCCAATGGCCGCCGCGGCCGGCACATTGCGCTGATCTGATGGCAGGAGCCAGGTACTTATCCTGGTCTCCCATGGGGTGCAGGGCCCAAGCACTTGGGCCATCCTCCACTGCACTCCCTGGCCACAGCAGAGAGCTGGCCTGGAAGAGGGGCAACCGGGACAGAATCCGGCGCCCTGACCGGGACTAGAACCTGGTGTGCGGGCGCCACAAGGCGGAGGATTAGCCTAGTGAGCCGCGGCGCCGGCCTAGAATGGCTATTTTTAAACAGAATTTAGTGTCACAATACTGCATTGTTCGTCTTTGTTTATAAGACTGACTTTTTACTTATTTATTTATTTGAAAGGCAGAGTAACGGAGAGAGACAAAGACAGCAAAAGAATTTCCAAGTTCTTGGGCCATTTTCCACTGCCCTCCCAGGAGTGTTAACAGGAAGCTGGGTCAAAAGCAAAGCAGAGGCCTGGCGCTGTAGGGTAGCAGGTAAAGCTCCCCCTGCAGCATCAGCATCCTGTATGGGTGCCGGTTCGAGTCCCGGCTCCTGTACTTCTGATCCAACTCCCTGCTAATGCCCCTGGGAAAGCAGCAGATGACCCAAGTCCTTGGGCCTTTGAACCCACATGGGATAATGAGAAGAAGCTCCTGACTCCTGGTTCCTGGCTTCGGACAGGCCCAGCTCTGGCTGTTTTGGCCATTTGGGGAGTGACCCAGTGGATGAAAGATCTCTGTCTCTCCCTCCCTCTCTTTCTGAGGAAGGAAGGAAGGGAGGAAGGGAGGAAGGGAGGAAGGGAGGAAGGGAGGAAGGGAGGAAGGGAGGAAGGGAGGAAGGGGGGGGGGAGGGAGCGAGGAGCAAAGCCAGCCAGAACTGGAACCTGCATTTTGATATGGGATGCCGGAGTTGCAAGGGCAGGGTTTAACTTGCTGTGCCACAATGCCAATCCCTGTTTCTTTTTTTACAGAGTATATCCATAAGCCAAACTGTTTCAGAAGGTATCATGTACACAATCTACCACAGTGTTCAATATTCAGTACAACATACTAACTAAAATAATACACATCCACTGTACAATTAGCAAACCAGACACCAAAATATTTAATTTCATATTCACAAACTCTTATGATGTTGCATTTAACCCAATATAAAAAAATATGCTAAACTGGATGTATTCTACAAATGCTGATTCTCAATCCTTTGTTTTTTACTGCATCAATTTGGTATCCACAGAACAATCGTGCCTCTTGAAGTCAATTTCCACTGATTTCAAAGAAAATGTCTCAAAGATCTTTTCAACTACATGTAAATCAGTTTTAGAGAAAAGAATAACCTCAGATAATTTAATTTTAAAGTAAAACTGAATACTATCGCTAAGAATCTGGTTCACACTAAGAAGCAATATTTTTAGTGTGAAAAAATATAAAATAAATTATATTATCTGAAAGTAAAGATGAACTTTTTTTTTTTTTTTTTTTTTTTTTTTATTTTTGACAGGCAGAGTGGACAGTGAGAGAGAGAGACAGAGAGAAAGGTCTTCCTTTTGCCGTTGGTTCACCCTCCAATGGCCGCCGCTGCAGCCGGCGCACCGCGCTGATCCGATGGCAGGAGCCAGGATCCAGGTGCTTTTCCTGGTCTCCCATGGGGTGCAGGGCCCAAGCACCTGGGCCATCCTCCACTGCACTCCCTGGCCATAGCAGAGAGCTGGCCTGGAAGAGGGGCAACCGGGACAGAATCCGGCGCCCTGACCGGGACTAGAACCCGGTGTGCCGCGCCGCAAGTGAGATTAGCCTATTGAGCCATGCGCCGCCTTGTAAGATGACTTTTGTTCCAATCAATGATGACAGCATGAGATGCAGAGACGCCGATCTTCCCACAGAGATTCACGTCCATTTCTTACAACTGCAGAATTGTAAGTGATTCTTTAATTGAAAGTTATACTGAAAGGCTTGCAAATCACTTCAGAACACCAGCTAGCGGTCGAGGAGCCATTCCTCAGCGGCCTGACACCCAGGGGAGGGCAGGCGGGGCTGCCCGGGAACGCTACCTTCCACACAGATGTACTTATTTCTCCACTCAATCCCATCAGGCCTCGGGATGGCTTTGGCTTCACGAACTGAAATCATCTGACTGTTCCAGCTGTAAGAGGAGAACACTGAGCATGTTAAGCACTTTCGTAACCATTCTGTCAATAGCAAGGCTCACCCTGACACTTCTGGAGAACACAGAAACTTGCCTCAACCCTCAGCACCACAACCCCATTTCCCTCCTCCATGTTTTTCTTGATGGCATTTATTGCCCAAAATCTACTTACTGAACAACACCTAGTTTATGTATTGCCCCCAAGGAGAATGACTCTGCATACTGATGAGATATTTATTTGTTACTTTCACTGCTCACCCCTGCACTATTAGTATACAGCAGGTATTGTGTAATAATAATAAATGAATATGAAAAATAAGTACAAGCAAATGTGTGTGTGTGTGTATAAATAAACTATTCTCACTGTTACCAACGCATTGGCCAGCGCTGCGGCTCACTAGGCTAATCCTCCGCCTTGCGGCGCGGGCACACCGGGTTCTAGTCCCGGTCGGGCTGCTGGGTTCTGTCCCAGTTGCCCCTCTTCCAGGCCAGCTCTCTGCTGTGGCCAGGGAGTGCAGTGGAGGATGGCCCAAGTGCTTGGGCCCTGCACCCCATGGGAGACCAGGAGAAGCACCTGGCTCCTGCCATCGGATCAGCGCGGTACACCGGCTTCAGCATGCCGGCCGTGGCGGCCAATTGAGGGTGAACCAAGGGCAAAGGAAGACCTTTCTCTCTGCCTATCTCTCTCACTGTCCACTCTGCCTGTCAAAAAAAAAAAAAAAAAAAAAAAAAAAAAAAAAAAAAACATTGAGAGTGTTTTATGGACAGGCATTGTGGCATAGTGCGTAAAGCCACTGACCTAAATGACCCATCCGATGTGGGCACCAGTTCGAGTCCCGGCTGCTCCACTCCCAATCCAGCTCTCTGCTAATGGTTTGGGAAAAGCAGCAGAAGACAGCTGAAGTGCTTGTGCCCCTGGCCACCTGTGTGAGAGACCCAGTTGAAGCTCCTGGCTTTGGCCTGGCCCAGCCCTGACCACTGCAGACATCTTGGAGGTAAACCAGCAAGTGGAAGATCAAGATCTCTCTCTCTCTCTCTCTCATTCAAATAAATAAATGAGACTTATTTATTTATTTGAAAGGCAGAGTTATAGAGAGGAGAGGCAGAGAGAGACAGAGGTCTTCCATATGCTGGTTCACTCCCCAGATGGCCACAGTGGCTGGAGCTGGGCTTATCTGAAGTCAGGAGCCTGGAGCTTCCTCCTAGTCTCCCATGTAGGTGCAGAGGCTCAAGGACTTGGACCATCTTCTACTGCTTTCCCAGGCCATAGCAGAAGCACCCAGGACTCAAACCAGCACCTATAACGGATGCTGGCACTGCAGGCCGCAGCTTTACCTGCTATGCCATAGCGTCAGCCCCCAAATAAATGAACCTTAAAAAAAAGAAAAAGTTCTTATTTGTTAAGAGAAAGTTTATCTTCTTGTTTTTGTCTTCTGATACCATTAAACAACTTTTGTTCAGGTACATCTTTATTTGCTTGATTTGGGAGACAATTTGGAATTTTCCAAAAGGAGTGGGAATTTCCAATAAAAATATTCCAGGCATATACAGTTTTAGGAAAACATAATTAATACTGTAAGAAAACAAACTGTAAGTGCTAGATATTATGTGTAGCTGTCAACAGTAAAATTTTATTCAAGTAGGACAATTTTATCAGCATGCCTGCATGTAATCTGTCCAGCTTTCAGTGTATACTAGCCTTACATTTTGTTTTTTTTTTTAAGTTTTAAGAATTTCTTTACATTTTTAGCAGTTACCACAAATTTTTAAAGATTTATTTATTTGAAAGGTAGCGTTACAGAGAAAGAGAAGGAGAGACCCAGTGCACCATAGCACCAGCCTTGTATTTTCTTTTTCAAGGAATATAATACAAGGGTACTTCAAAGTCTGTGGAGGAGTCAGTGTTGTAGCTCAGTGGATTAAGCCACCACCTGCAATGCCAGCACCCCTATAGGCTCCAGTTTTGAGTCCTGGCTGCTCCTCTTCCCATCCAATTCCCTGCTAATGGCCTGGGAAAGCAGTGAAAGATGGCCCACATGCTTAGGCTCCTGCCACCCACATGGGAGACTCAGATGAAGTTCCTGGCTACTGGCTTCAGCCTAATCCAGCCCTGTCTATTGCTGCCATTTGGGGAGTGAACCTGAAGATTTAAGATACCACGTTCTCTCTCTCTCTCTCTCCCTCTCTAGCTCTCTTTCTGCCTCTCCCTCTCTGTAACTCTGGCTTTCAAATAAATAAACAAATCTAAAAAAAATTTGTGAAAAAGTGAAATTAAAATATAAGCTTATTTTGGCACAAAACTGTTTAAAATTTTGAGTACTAAGAGCTTTTGTGTACAAGAAAAATAAACGTGGTGAATAGCTGCTATCTTCTTTCCAGCAGCATTAATTTTCTCCACCAGTTTAGCAAACAGAGAAAGACTAAGGCTTGGGATCTTCTGCCTCTAACTCTCACTCTACTCTTCCTCTATCAGAGAAAAAAATCCGTAAAAATATAATCTTGAGTTTCTGGAAATGAGGTTATCTTCTATGTTAATTACACAAGAAAAAGTTTGCATCTTGTGAGGTTTGTTCACAAAGCAACCTAAAGCATGATTTTCTTTCTCTTTTTTCTTTTTTTTGACAGGCAGAGTTAGACAGCGAGAGAGAGACAGAGAGAGAGAGAGAGAAAGGTCTTTCTTTTCCATTGGTTCACCCTCCAATGGCCGCCGCAGCCGGCGCACCGCGCTGATCCGATGGCAGGAGCCAGGTGCTTCTCCTGGTCTCCCATGGGGTGCAGGGCCCAAGCACTTGGGCCATCCTCCACTGCACTCCCTGGCCACAGCAGAGAGCTGGCCTGGAAGAGGGGCAACCGGGACAGAATCCGGCGCCCCGACTGGGACTAGAACCCGGGGTGCCAGCGCCACAGGCGGATGATTAGCCTAGTGAGCCGCGGCGCCGGCCGTTATTTTTAAAAGGCACAAATCCAGTGGGGCGACTCTGCCCCTGACTCCTCCTAACTCCAGGTGGCTCAGTCGCAACTGAAATAAGGCCTTGCCTCTCTCTCCCTAATGCTGGACGTTATGAAAGAAAGGACCATGGACAACTGAGCAATTGTTTCAATTGTCATCAGTGCAGCTTGTATTTCCAATGTGTGCTTTATATCCTATTATATAACATAGAGTATGTATTGGAATACACATGAATATATATATATATTTGTATCTAGTTTGTGTGTGTGTGTGAGAGAGAGAGACAAGAGAGTATTTTAAAACACTGTGAGTAAGTAGAATTGTTTTTGAAATACATTAACAATTTTTCATCATATCCATTTCTCATGAATCTTGTGAAAGACACTGCAAAGCATAGAATTCACATTTTTGTACCAAAATGTACATATTTAATTCCATTTTCCATAAAATCTGAAGTAAGCTCTTAAAAAAATAAAATAAATAAAAGGCATAGATCTGGTTCTTTCTTTTAGATGAGTTCAGAATATTTGAATACTGTGTCCTAAACTTAAACTGCAACCTTTATTTCCTTAATTCAAGGGAACTCGAGCCTTATAACTATATTTCTATTCAACCCTGAATTTATATTACATGCCACTGGTCACTTCTAAGTTGGATCACAGAAGCAGTACATAACATACGTGTGTTCATTTTACTGACAATCCCTAACCAAGTCTCACTTAAGCTCCAACCTTCAAACAATCTAAGTAATTCAGTTATTTAAAATTAGTATATCAAATAAAGTACTCCAAAGAGAAAAGGAGTATGTTGAGTCACTACCATTTCGGCTCATTAAATCTGAATTTTCCAAGAAATACTCACTATATCTAAATTAAATTTAATCTACACTAGATCTTACACTGGCCTGAGGTTCCCCATTATATTAAGTCCTTGCTTCTCTACAGTGATAATACACTAGTGCTTATCAAGTAACTCTTACAGGTATTCTTTTTGTGATCAACAGAAAGTATTTTGACACGACCAAATAAACTGGAATGTAGCCTTCAACAATATTACCAAAAGAAAAGTTTTCTGTCTGACAAAGTCAAAAATTATGAGCCTGATCTGCTGTTGCATATATATGCATATTAGACTAAGCCATTTAAGTCAACAAATGCATATAATTTTGTTGCATAATCAAGGGTTGGGAAGTAAACAGAAAGCAAACCGTGTCTTAAGCAGAGAAAGCGGCACTCTGGTTTTGTTTTGCTCTAACAGTCTCTTCCTCTTCTACCAGGGCCCCACCTGAGTCTTCTAATGCTAGAGAACCAAGCCAGGCCGCAGGAAGCCAACACTTCTTTCCCAAATCCTTGACCCAGCTCTAATACTTCACTCAGCCCCAGGCTGATATTTACAACTAACTATTGCCCACGGGCGTCCCTGGGCACACATTTTCAAGACTGAATGTAATACATTCTACCGACGGTCAATTACTAAAATCGCTTCCTTGCATATACTCTAACCCGGCTTACCCTGCCTGCTCCGCTGAACTTCCTGGGCTGAAACGCAAGCTGAGTAAACCTACGCCAGTTCTTGCATGCAACTGAACATATGCGCAGATGCAATCAGGCAGAATGACCACACTGTGAGTGCATGGCCACTTAACTCAGAAGGCCCTTGAACACACCAGCCCACCAGTTACACTCAAGCTCCATAGCTAATTCACCCTTTTAGTCCAGTACGGATACTTCTTGCCTTCTCCCTGCTTCTCAGATTTCCTCCCTCAGTCATTCTCAGCAAGTGTTCATGGTTTATTTCACTAAGTAACTACAGCAATCTTGCAAAAATCCCCACTATCTTCCACCACACTACTCCCTCTACATCACCTGCGCCCACAGTGTCTGCTCTTCGTTATTAATAAATCATCCATGCTTCTACTCTACTCATGCTCTGGATTCCAATTCTTCTTGACCCAAACAAGGATGCTGTTCCCAACAGTTCACAATGCCCTTCTCTACTATCATCGAGATAGGTTACTTCTCCCATAAAAACAAAAACTCGACATCCCCAACCCTCCCTGTTTCTTCTGCTCTCCTTTACAAACACATGAACTACAAGATCTCTGTCAGTTTCTCCTCCTGGACTTTTCTGAGTCCACCCCACTGATGCTTTTTATCCCCATTGTTCACAGAAACTGTTCTTATCAAGCAGACAAGAGGCGACCTGGGACAACCTCATCCCTACTGGAGTGCCTGCTGCAAGTACTGCTCCTGATGCACCCCGGTGGCTCCATTACTCGGATTCCTGTCACAGAGGAGATGCAGACTGACTTCTGGGACCCTCGCTTGGGCCTGGCCCAGCTCTGGCTATCACAGGCACTGGGGGATGAACCAGCAGCTGAAGAATCTTTCTCCTGTTCCATCTCTCCATCTTTTCCAATAAGATGCAAATAAACAAAAACATTGTTTAAAAAGGAAGTCACACACTGTAGCACAGAAGGTTAAGCTACCAGCTACAACAAAGGCATCCCACAGAGGTGCCAGATCCTGTCCTAGCTGATCTACTTCCGATTCAGCTCCCTACTAATGGCCTAGGAAAAGAAGCAGAATATGGCCCAAGTGCTTGAGCCCCTGACACCCCACATGGGAGACCTGGAAGAAGCTCTGGCTCCTGGCTTCAGCATGGCCCAGCCCTGGCCGCTGCTGCATTTGAGGAGTGAACCAGTGGATGAAAAATATCTTTCTCTGTCTCTCCCTCTCTATCTCTGTAACTCTTTCAAATACATAAATTTTTTTTTCTTTTTGCCACAGATTGGCTCCCATGTCTGATTTATTTTTTATAAAAGATTTATTTGAAATAGAGAGAGAGAAAGGGGGAGATAGAAGTATCTTCCATTTGCTGGTTTATTCTGCAAATGGCCACAATGGTCATAGCTGGGCTGTTCTGAAGCCAGGAGCCAAGAGCTTCTGACAGGTCCCCTACCTGGGTGGTAAAAGCCTAAGGACTTGGTCATCATCCACTGTCTTCCCAGGCTCATTAACATGGAGCTGGATGGAAAGTAGGACAGCTGGGACTCAAACCACTGTACCACGGTCATGCCAGTATCACAGGCAGTAGCTTTACCCACTATGCAACAATGCCAGCCCCCAAATAATTAAATCTTAAAAAAAGTCAAAATCAGCCGGCGCCGTGGCTCACTAGGCTAATCCTCTGCCTTGCAGCGCCGGCACACCGGGTTCTAGTACTGGTTGGGGCGCTGGATTCTGTCCAGGTGGCCCCTCTTCCAGTCCAGCTCTCTGCTGTGGCCAGGGAGTGCAGTGGAGGATGGCCCAAGTGCTTGGGCCCTGCACCCCATGGGAGACCAGGAGAAGCACCTGGCTCCTGGCTTCAGATCAGCGCGGTGTGCCGGCCGCAGCGCGCCGGCCGCTGGAAGGTGAACCAACGGTAAAGGAAGACCTTTCTCTCTGTCTCTCTCTCTCTCCCTGTCCACTCTGCCTGTCAAAAAAAAAAAAAAAAAAGTCAAAATCATGAAAATTAACTACAAGACCCTACATGAGTGGACTTCCTTACTCTTTGATGTCATGTCCTTCCACTTTCTTAGCCTTATTGGTTTTTTTTGTTGGTGGTGAAAGGCAGAGTTACATGGAGAGGAAGAGAGGGAGACACCTTCCATCCACTGGTTCACTCCTCCAAATGGCCACAATGGCCAGGGCTGGGCCAGGCCAAAGCCAGGAGCCCAGAGCTTCTTTCCAGTCTCCCACTGGAGGGCAGGGGCCCAATCACTTGGGCCATCTTCCACTGCTTTCCCAGGCACATTAACAGAGAGATGGAGTGGAAATAGAGCAGCCAGGACTTGAACCAGCACCCATATGGGATGCTGGCACTGCAGGCGGAAACTTAGCCTGCTACGTCACAACATCTGCCCCATTTCTTCTTTCACTAGCTTCTTTGCTGTTCCTTGAGTACGTCAGGCACAGGCCCCTCAAAGCACTGGCATTTGCTTTTCCTCAGCTCCCACACAGCCACTCATAGCACCACCTTCATCAGGTCATTGTTCATAGGTCATCTCTTGATGGGGGACAGGTGACACGCTGCACCGTGGGGACTGAAACTGCACAGCTAGCCACAGCAGACCGTCCTTGGTGGTTTTCCCTTGTTCCTCTGCTCCTGTCACCTAGTGCACTGCACGCTGTTTACTGCTTACTGTCTACCTCTTCACATTACAATGTAAGCTCCAGGAGGGCTTGTTTGCTGCTACACCCAGTGCACAAAAAATAGCTTGGCATACAGTAGGCACACAATGAATATTTAGAAAGTAAAGGAAATGAAAGGCCAAAACACACAGGGAGATAGAAAATCTGGGCCTGCATATTCCCTTTTAAAGGAATCTGTTTCTGGGTATGTAGACATGTATTTTTAGTTGAACAGGTAAGATCAGTACTGGTGACATGTGATTAAGGACCCTGATGGTGACATGTGATTAAGGATTAAGGGAATAAAGAGGATTTAAAAATAGCTATCTTTTAAGGTTCCTAGAAGCTGCAGTTTCTATGAGTCTACACAGATGTTTAGAATTTGAAATCTGGCTTTGCTAAAATAAAAATAATGACACTGATGGCATTATTTGAATCCCTGTGCCATGTGAGCCTCTTCCCATATTTTGTTAGTTCATGATTCCCAGGTGCACTTGCAGCAGCTTGGCTTCATTTGAAAATGTTCAGCTTGGAAGATGTGAGTGAACTAGGAGAGCAAAGTGGATTAAATACACAGGAGTCACTTGACACACTACAGGACACTGGGTGAACACCAAACATTGCTACTGCATACAACACCTGAGCACTGTCATTCTGACAGTAGGCTAAGCTTCCGCCTGCGGCGCTGGCATCCTACATGGGCACCAGCTGCGGTCTGAGCTGCTCCACTTCTGATCCAGCTCCCTGCCAATGGCCTGGGAAAGCAGCGCAAGATGGCCCAAGTGCATGCGCCCCTGTAACCACGTGGGAGACCTGGAGGAAACTCCTGCCTCCTGGCTTCAGATCAGCCTAGCTCCAGCCATTACAGCTATTTGGGGAGTGAACCAGAGAATGGAAGACCTCTCTCTCTCTCTCTCTCTCATAACTCTGCCTCTCAAATAAATAAATAAATCTTAAACAACAACACCACCACAACACCTGAAACAGGACTAAAGCTCCCTGCACCACAGCAGGGAAGACAATGCCAGCACTGCAGTGCAGACTCCTAAGTGGATCTTGCAGTCCTAAGTGTCTGAAGTACTACCCACACCAGCAGGTCTAGAGCTATACCTCAGTGCAAGCTCCGCCTCTTCCCCTCTACCTTCATTTTTCCAAGCTGATCAGAAGAGCTGCAAACAACCCTAACCCCACTGTATTCTGAATTCAGAACTCTCCCAAAGAACTTTCCATCCTGGGCAGCCGGATTAGACACTATGCTTCCTGTTTATACACTGCCTTCGAAGAAAACAGGGAAAGAATATACTCCTGGACTTGTGCACCATAATAACACAACTATTTACTCAGACACCAAGCATTAAAGGGATGCTTCCAGGGGGCCAGCACTGTGGTGTAGTGTGTAAAGCTGCCACCTGCAGTATTGGCATCCCATATGGATGCCGGTTCAAGTCCTGGATGCTTCACTTCCAATCCAGCTCTCTGCTATGGCCTGGGAAAGCAGTGGAAGATGGCCCAAGTGCTTGGACCCCTGCATCTGCATGTGAAACCCGGAGGAGGCTCCTGGCTCCCAGCTTCAGTTGGGCTCAGCTCTAGCCGTTGCAGCCATTTGGGGAGTGAAACAGTGAATGGAAGACCTCTCTCTCTGCCTCTGCCTCTCTGTAACTCTCCCTTTCAAATAAATAAATCTTAAAAAGGTGTGTGTGGGGGGGGGGGGGTTCCAAGTTTGTCTTGGGCATGGTGCTCACCCTACACTTGTTAGTTCCTAGAAAATAGATGCTCCGAACCACAGAGCACCCACACAGGACCAACACAGGCTCCACTGTGTAATGAGGTAGCCACACATAAAATGAGGTTGCTCCTGAAATAAACTAAAACTGGGCTTACTGAACTACAATAACTGTAATTTTTTTATTAGCTACGAATATGGAATCTATTTAGTTTCCAATAATTACCTGTTAGATATAAAGTGTTATAAACTGCTCATTTCTGGACAAGTGTGCAGCTTTGCAATTGATAGAGCTTCTGGCCACATTTGTAGCATTCACTTATATATAAAGAACAGACATAATCTACAGTTTTACTTACTCGAATTCTGTAGCATAATATTTAAGAAAGCCCAGTAAGAGGTCTCCAAGAGTTGATTCATTCTTTGAGAGGTAAGGAGGAACATTACATGGAGCTTGATGTACAAGGTGCAGCTGGATAGCAGGACTAAAAGATTCCTGTCAAAAAGAGAGGGTAAGGGTGTAAAGCCATTAAAACGCACACTAGAACACTTGGTAATTCCTCATCTAGGCTCTCTGAAAAAGAGAAATTTCTTCATACTGGCAATTTGGAAACTTGAAGGTTTTCTTCCATTAAAAATTTCACCAGCACTTGCAGTACATCAGAATGTACCTGAAAAGCCAAGATATTCTAAACTTCACTTAAGTATTTCAGCTAACCGAATATATCCCCATGGTAGCAACAGATTTTCTAACACATTAATAAAAACTTATACAGATACCAAGATCCAATTAACATATAGATTTCTTCAAAAAACACTTCTCCCTAATTATTTCTACAAGGAGCAGTAGTACTTCATGTATGAAGGTTCTACCAAGCACAAAGATAAGAGCTTTGTCTCACTGCCACTTAAACTCTTCTCAAAGAAGCTCAATGTATGTATAGTACTTTAATATATGAACAGTACAAAGATTTTAAGATCGTTACCATTTTATTTATTTATTTATTTAGTATCTCAGAGGGAACAGAAGATAGATTCTCAAAAAAAAAAAAAAAAAAAACTGACAAGAAGAGTCAGGGAAAGCAAAGACACCAAACATACCAATAAGCAACACTCAGCAAAATTTTGCCACAAGATACTATTTACTTGCAATGTAAGCTCAAATAAGACTCTTGCTAGAAAGAATACTAACAAGTATTTATCTGCCTGCAGTATGCCACACATTTTCATATCTGACCTCTCTATTAGCAGCAAGTTCTGTTTCTGAAAAATACTAACTAAACCATAGATTCTCAAATAATAAAAACCCACAACTTAATCATTTACGGAAACTACACAGTGCCATCAAGAATGTTTTTCTGTATTTCTGCACTGCCATCAAAGTAAAAATAGATTTAAAAATAAAATTCGTTGCTTAAGGCAGAAGAATGATAACTAAAGCTAGACTTTCCAATTTAACAAATCAACACTGGGTATATAGATACCATTTCAACAAACACCCACTAAAGAATGCAGGCTTCCTACTCAACTAGCCAGTAGCACAGAGAAGTATCTTGCATCATGTAATGCTAATCCTGAAAAAAGAAATCAGTAAAAACCCAAGAGCAAAAAGTAAAAATGTTCCCTCCCTTGTGCCATGTCGTACTACCAATGAAGTTAACTTCCAAGACGTGATTACTTTTCTCTCAGAAGAAAATTTCTGTTCCAACCATAATCCACAAAGCTGGCACTCCTAAACACGGGCCCTTTCCCACTTCTAACAGCTGTGGTATTCTATCCTAGGAGTCAGGCAGAAACCTTAACTGTCCAGTGACTGACATGGTGGGGAAAGAAGAGGAGCCCCCTTTTAAAGAGTAAAGGCAGGTGGAAGGACGCCTAGACTAATCCCTTAGTCTCTTATGTGTGGAACTGAACTTAGAATATATTAAACATTATTCAAAATTCAAATTTTAATTATTTCCTATGATCAGATGAAAAGTACAATGTAAATCAAATGCTAAGAAAAGTGGTAAGAATAATCATGTGACAATTAAAATAAGAAAAGTCCATCACTGCCGAATAGTCTGCTCTGGAAGTTTACTTCATGGCTAGCAGCCTGCACAAAAAGCATTCCATTTATAAGCTGATGTTAAAATAAAAAAGTCATTTTCTTATCTGAAGTTTAAGACTCATTGAATCTTTTTTAAGTGTTTTATTTGGGTCAATAATTTAGAGAAAAAAATCTGCAATTTTGAGATAGAAACTGGAGAGTTATGAGATCTACTCTATGAAAATGTTCAGTGACACTGGGCCAATAATTCGGCCAGTCTTCCCTTAGTTCCACAGTTTGTTTTCATAGTCTTAAACAAGAGCTATGTCATAATTACTGAGAGAAAACTGAAGGAGAAATCCGAATCTAAAAAGAACACAACTTAGGGCATCCCGAAAGCGGCTACAACAGGAATTCCACGTATCCACCAAAAATGACCAGTTTTTGGTTATTATTCACAGTGCACAGACGCCTCTTTCTGATGAATCTACTGTGAAACGAAGACCATACTCAACAATCGGCGGTCAGCACTCCAGAAAGTGTCCATGTCCATCTGAAGGGGCACACAGTTACTGGAGAGGGCCCAGAGGAACCCTGCGTGAGGACTTCACTCACGTCAGGGTAGAACTCACCTCCTTGGAAAGAAAGAGGCTCTGGGATGACAAAGGGCGGGAAACAGAAAGGAGCTGGCAACTGCTCACACTGCCTGCTGTCGTGGGCGCTACACAGGGCTTCCACCACACGATGAGGTCTAGTGTGCTCACCTCCGGTCAGTGTGCTCACTCAGCAGAATGGGCAGCCTGCGCTACACAGGGCTTCCACCACACGATGAGGTCTAGTGTGCTCACCTCCGGTCAGTGTGCTCACTCAGCAGAATGGGCAGCCTGCGCTACACAGGGCTTCCACCACACGATGAGGTCTAGTGTGCTCACCTCCGGTCAGTGTGCTCACTCAGCAGAATGGGCAGCCTGCGCTACACAGGGCTTCCACCACACGATGAGGTCTGAGTGTGCTCACCTCCAGTCAGTGTGCTCACTCAGCAGAATGGGCAGCTTGTTGAAATCTGAAATGTCTTGGGTGATAAGTACATGCAAAGGGCTCAGGTAAGGCCAAGTGCTGTTTGTTCAGGAGCTCACGCCCAGAAAGGTGAATTACTCCATGAAGGAAACAACATCGGATCTTTGTTTCAAATTCAGAAGGCAACAACAATTAAAAAAAAAAGATGAGAGAAAAATTTTGGATGGTATCTATGTCTCTAAAAAAGGAACAGTTCAGGCTGATAAGCAAGATCTAAAAGTTGTTTGGCTACAGAAAGAAGAACCCAGACTATGTCTTTTGGTATTTTAATAATGCAGTAAAAGATCTACTGATTTGAAAACAAAGAAATAAAGATTGCTGCTAAGGAAGATTTCAGGAACTGGCGCTGTGGCGTAGCAGCTGAAGTCACTGCCTGCAGCGCCAGCATCCCATGGGTGCTGGTTCGAGTCCTGGCTGCTCCACTTCCAATCCAGCTCTCTGCTGTGGCCTAAGAAAGCACCTGCACCTGCATGGGAGTCCCTGAAGAAGCTCCTGGCTCCTGGCTTCAGATCAGCCTAGCTCCGGCCATTGCAGTCATCTGGGGAGTGAACCAGCGGATAAAAGAACTGTCTCTGCCTCTCTGTAACTGTCTTTCATATAATAAATTTTGCAAAAAAATTTCAACAAATAATTTCTTAACCCAGCGCAGCGCAATGCCAGCCCCAACAAGTAATTTCCTTACAAGGGGGCTCTCCACTGCAGTTGCATGTTTAAGAAAACTGCACGCTACTTTGGATGGGATGAGGGGGTGCAGAACTGAAGCCACTACATTAGCGCCTAAAGAGCAATCGGAGTCCAAAGCAGGGACAACTTAAAATCACACTCAGTCCACGGACAGGCGATTTAACTGATAACGTTCACCTCTTTCAGGAAGAGGTTATTTGGATTACCGATACTTATTGCTCTTGGATATTTTTAAACGAATGGAAGGCTTCTTTATTATATTCATGTTAATGTCTTATTTTGAGTTTCTAATAACAAAATGTAATGACCTAATTTATGAAAACTTTTCCCAGGTGATATTTAAATGCTGACATTTGTGATGAAGATAGATAATTTTCCATTTCATTTCAATCAATGACAAGTTAAGAAAAATTTAAATGTAATTCTTTGAAAAACAATCTAAAAATCTGCTATTGTCTAAAAATGGCAGAAACATCTTTTAACAGAGTTCATCATTTTCCTGAGGCTGTACCATACTATCTAACTTTACTTTCAAATTTGAAATTTTGGACAATTATACATTTTAATGGAATAAGTTAGGCTGGTTAAACTTGTTGATAATTGTTTTCATAGCGATGTGCTTAGGGGCCAGTGCTGTGGCATAGTGGGAAAAGTCGCCCATCCCATATGTGCACTGGTTCGAGCCTCAGCTGCTCCACTTCCAATCCAATTTCCTGCTAACATGCCTGGGAAAGCAGCCAAGGATGGCCCAAGTGCTTGGGCCCATGCGACCCAAATGGAGGACCTAAAGAAGCTCCTGGCTCCTGGCTGCCAGCTTCGGACTGGCCCAGCTCCAGCCATTTGTGTAGTGAACCAGTGTCTGGAAGATATCTCTCTCTGTCCCTCCCGTGCTCTCTGTAACTCTTCCAAATAAATAAATTACTTTAAAAAACAAAAAATGATGTGCTTAAATGAAAGATGACTGGCTACTTTCCATCTCCAGGCTAACAGAGGGAAATTTAAGTTGCACAAGAGTTCTGCCTGAACAGGGGAAGAACAAAGTGGTGTGTTAAAGTTCCTGCCAAGCTATCTTTGTTGCATGTGGACAGCCACCAACCTGGTGGTGTATGTTAAAGACTGATCATTAGGGGCTGGCGCTGTGGCACAGCGGGCTAAAACCCCGGCCTGCAGCAATGGCATCCCATATAGGTGCCAGTTCGAGTCCCACCTGCTCCACTTCCGATCCAGCTCCCTGCTAATGCACCTGGGAAAGCAGCAGAAGATGGCCCAAAGTGCATGAGCCCCTGCAACCATCTGGGAGACCCAGAGGAAGCTGCTGGCTCCTGGCTTCAGATCGGCTCAGCTCTGGCCACTGCGGACACTTTGGGAGTGGACCAGCAGATGGAAGACCTCTCTCTCTGTCTCTCTCTCTCTCTCTAACTCTTTCAAAAAAATAAAACAAATCTTCAAAAAAAAAATTGGTCATTAAATTTCCAAAATTGGATTTTATTTTACTGAGATTCTTCAAGCTCTGAAATCAGTATAACTATGTAATACAAAGTCAAGATACGACAATGAAGTCTTTTAACAGCAGGAGCTTTGGACACAGACTAGATTTAAAACCTGTAATACGAACTTTATTGGGTTACCAAATTTTCCAAAGGTGTTGCTACATCAGTTGTAAGGAAAATAACAGTATTCAAAGGGTATAACAAAGGTTAGAGGACATGATGCAGGTAAAGCATGGCAGTAGTACTATCTATTTATTGTTTAGGAGACACCATGTATCATAATTATTAAATACACACTCACACACTGCACTATTAACTGAGCATTTATATAAAATGGTTACTTCCTGAAACTTTTAACATATTATTTTAAAACAAATTTCCCTATAGCTTTCAAAATTCAAGTACATTTTAAAACAAGCTTTTACTCATTTAAAAAAATAAATCTTCACCTAGGTATTTTAATCTCTTTCCTCAAAGGTATTCACTTATAGCCTATTATAGATAATTAATTCCCTTACCAGGCTTTGTGCATTTTAAAACAAAAGGCTGCTATAAGCATGTGCTTGTATATATGTAAAGTTTAAGATCTTTTAACAATAACTGCACAGAAAAGCTAATTCCTTATTTCCTAACTATAAGAAAGGTTATTTTCTTACATCTCTATTCTCTTAAAACAGCTTCCTAGAGTACCAAGACACAAAAAACTAATTGAAGAAATAAGTAGCCAGCGCCGTGGCTCAATAGGCTAATCCTCCACCTTGCAGCGCCGGCACACTGGGTTCTAGTCCCGGTCAGGGCGCCGGATTCTGTCCCGGTTGCCCCTCTTCCAGGCCAGCTCTCTGCCGTGGCCCGGGAATGCAGTGGAGGATGGCCCAAGTGCTTGGGCCCTGCACCCCATGGGAGACCAGGATAAGCACCTGGCTCCTGCCATCAGATCAGCACAGCGCGCTGACCGCGGTGGCCATTGGAGGGTGAACCAACAGCAAAAGGAAGACCTTTCTCTCTGTCTCACTCTCTCACTGTCCACTCTGCCTGTCAAAAAAAAAAATAAATAAATAAGTTGCCAGGGCTGGCAGTGCGATGCAGTGAGTTAAGCCATCATTTGAGACTCCAACATCCCAAATCAGACCACCTGTTCAAGTCCTGGCTGCTCCACTTCCAATCGAGCTCCCTGCTAATGTGCCTGGGAAAGCAGTCAACAAAAGCCCAAGTACTTGAGCCCCTGCAGCCACGTGAGAGACCCGGAAGACGCTCCTGGCCCTTGGCTTCAGCCTGGCCAAGTGTCAGCCATTGTGGCCATTTGTGGAATGAATCAACAGATCAAAGATTCTCATTCTCTTTATTTCTCTCTGGGACTCTTGTAAATAAATAAATAAATCTTTTTTAAAAATCTTTTAACTAGAAGTTCAAAGTTTAAAACAAACGTGTGGTTCTTTGTAAAGCAACAAAAATTTTTTTTTACTCTAAAGTTTTAAGTCATTCTCAAATTTATTTATAAAAGCTCAAACTGTATCATATCTTTTTAAATATTTTATTTATTTGAGACACAGAGTTCTGGCAGGGGTGGGTACAGAGAGCCAGAGATCTTCCATCTGCTGATTCACTCCCCAAATGTTCACAATGGCCAAGGCTGGGCCAGACAGAAGCCAGGAGCCAGGGGCTTCTTCTGGGTCTCCCAAATGGCCACATGAATGCAGCGGCCCAAGGACCGTTTTCCCAGGTGCATTAGCAGGCAGCTGGATCACAAGTGGAACAGGTGGGACTTGAATCAGTGCCCATACAGGATTGCCAGCATCACAGTCTTTACCCACTGCACCCCAATGCCCAACTCTCCCCCAACCCACTTCTCTTAAAGGTATATCTGTATAGAAACAATGAGATACACAGAAATAACCTAACAGGTAGCAGAAATTAGATTAAATGACATGTTAATGAACACTACCACAAGAATGCCTTCCCTGGGGACGCCTGGGGACTGCGCTAGCACTCCATTAATCTCCTCGGTGCAGGTATAGGACAGGATGATTAGCAAATGGAGGGGACAGGATAGGACCAGAGGTAACAGATACGAAGTCAGGACTCTGTCATGGAGGAAAACTACATGAACAGGAAAATGGACACACGTGAAAACTCAGGTTGTTCAAATTAGAATATATCAGTAAACAATACCTTTGCCCCAAGCACAAAATACTTAAGTGATATGTCCCCAGAATCTCAGTTTAAAAGGAGCTCACGTAGCATGGGACAATACAGAATAACAGACTCTTTTAACTCTAAATTTAATACTATTCCTTGTATGCTGAAAAATATATGTAGCTCTTTCAACAATGAAAGCTGGTTTTTAAAGAAAAATAGGTTGTTGGGACAATAAAATGAAATAGCCAACACACCACAATTATCACTCACCTTTCAGCTTGAGCTAAAGAATAAAAACGGGGGCAGCAGGGCCATTCATGAGTAAGGCTGCAAGTTCAAGGTACTGGAGGGTGGGTGGGGTGGCGCAGAGTAAGCCCCTGCTTTGATGCCCACACCCCGTTTCAGAGCGCCAGTCTGAGTCCCAGCTGCGCCACTTCTGACCCACCTTCCTGCAAATGCACCTGGATAGGCCACAAATGGCCCAAATATGTGGGTCCCTGCCATCCACAAGGGAGACTCCAATGGAGTCCCCAGCTCCTGGCGCTAACCTGGTCTAGCTCTAGCTGTTGAGAGACAGCTGTTTTGGGGGACTGAATCAATGGATGGCCATTTTTCTTTCTGCCCTTCAAAAAACTATTTTTTAAAAAGGTCAAGTTATTTCTGTACTTTCTGATGCTTACATTTTTCATAATGTGTAAATAAAACTTAAAGACTAATACCTAACTATACTGCAAAGTCATTATAATAGTTCATAGAAGAAGCAGAAGTTAGTCTTTTTTTTTTTTTTAAAGATTTATTTATTTATTAGAAAGTCAGAGTTGCAGAGAGAGAGAGACTCTTCCATCAGCTGGCTCCCTCCCCAGTTGGCCATAATGGCAGGAGCTGCACCAATCCAAAACCAGGAACAAGAGCTTCCTCCAGTTCTCTATGCAGGTACAGGGGCCCAAGTACTTGGGCAATCTTCCACTGCTTTCTCAGCCATAGTAGAGAGCTGGATCAGAAGTGGATCAGCTGGGATTCGAACTAATACCTATATGGAATGCCAGCACTGCAGGCAGTGGTTTTACCCGCTATGCCACAGCACCAGGCCCAGAAGTTAGTTTTGAAAAGGAGGAAAATGAAACAGCCAGATTTCCAAAGGTTCTAGCCATGATGCCTTCTGGTAGATGACCCAGAAACTGAGAAAGCCCCATTACAGCAGGACTCTATTAGTGAACCTTTGCTATCCAGTATCTTGCCTGTGTGCATTATAGCTGATGCTCAAAACCAAGAATATCAGTTCCTCATAATCATGAGACAAATTTATATTTATGATGTTCCATATCAAACATATTAATTATACTGTGTGATACAATAAGTAAATTCTTCAAAAATTGATAATTTGGCCTGCAATGCCAGCTTCCCCTATGGGTGCCAGTACATGTCCCAGCTGCTCCACTCAGTGCCTAATGGCCCAGGAAAAGCAGCAAAATACAGCCCAACTACTTGAGTCCCTGCCACCTCCACAGGACACCTGAGGAAGCACCTGCCTCTGGTCTGACCCAGCATCGCTTGTTGTGGCCATCTGGGGAGTGAACCAACAGAGGAAGCTCTTTGACTCAACCTCTCCCTCTGTAACTCTGACTTTCAAATAAATAATTTTTTTAAAACATTGATTTCAAGTTGGATATATTTTTATTTATAATATGACCATTTCCTAAGTTTAAAAAACAGCTCTCCTTTTAAGTGTATGAAACAGGTAAAAATCATGTGGTTGCAAAAGTCTGTCAAACATTCTGAACAAGGAACTTAAATATTATATACAAAAAAAAATCAGAACAAGGATGACTATGGAGGAAAACAGAGATGGCAGGAGTATAAAACAAGGAAACAGAATCCTGGAGTAAGAACAAATGAAAACTGGAAAAGCAACAAAAGGATTCACATCCGTTATAAGTATGTACATATTCCCGAGGCGTCTCTAAACTCAAAGTGAGCAACATCCTAAATCTTTTCCTAGCACCACCCTTCTCTTCTAGAATGATCTGTTTGCACCTAACTTCAGCAGGATTCTTAACATCATACATAGAAGAAGGGGATACAACATTACCTTCTTTGGTGTATCACTTGGCAAGAACTAATAAAAGACACAAATATTATCCAGATAGGGCCAGCATTATGGCCTGATGCGTTAAGCCTTCATCTGCAATGCAAGCATCCCAAATGTGCTCTACTTCCAATCCAGCTCCTGCTAATGCCTTGAGAAGGCAGAGGAAGATGGCCTATGTGCTTGGGAACCTGCACTATGGGAGACCCAGAAGAAGCTCTTGGCTCTGGCTTCAGCCTGGCTCAGCCCCAGCTGTTACAGCCATTTGGGGAGTGAACCAGCAGATGGAAGATCTCTCTCTCTGTATCTGCCCCTCCCCCTCTGTAACTCTGCCTTTCAAATAAAAATAAGCCTTAAAAAAATTATCCAACTGTTCAACTTCTTATTTTTTTCCTCTGGGTCTCAAAATATGAATATACTGGGCTAAAAAATTTGAGATACTAACTAAAGAAACACTATGAACCTATATTCTAAAATAGTACAAAGAAAACTGGTAAAGGCCAAACAGACCTTCACCATCAGAGTATATTTAATCCCCAATGGTAATAATCTGCACCATGCAGAATTCTAACCCTCATATTTACTGACCAAACTATGCACCAATATCCAAATTCAGTGTCAGAGTTTTCTGAGAAATTCTATGAAACATTTAAATGTTCCAGTGGCCAATGCCTCAGCCTATATGAAAAACATTATTATGTACTTAGCCTTACTACTTTTATATTCACATTAATACTGCATATAATAACTCCACATACACTTGACTACAATATATTATAATAATTTATAAGAAACACTTACTGGGTAAATTTTTTGGAGGGATGGAAGGATGGGTTCAGGTAAGGCTATAAAAAGAAAAAGTTCAACACTTCTGTAATTTACATGATTCATTTTTACAATGCAATAATTTGCCAGCTACACCCCAGGTATAAGGGTTTATGCTAAAATTCAACAGTTTTCATACATTTCCTGAGACTAATTATGATCCATTAAAATTTTAAATTTATAAAGTATCTAAGTTGATAGTTTAAGGCTGCGGTAATGAACTGTGTATAGGCCTGTGGAAACCAGTGTTTCTTGCACTGTTTTAGAACAGACTATCATCAAAGGGACACATGTCATTTGGTCCGACATCAAACACACACAAAATAAGCAAGACAAGGATTGCTCTACAGATACCAAATAGACATTGTTAAGATGGATGTAGCTATAAAAAATATAATATGACAAGCACAATTCAATGATACTGTATCATGAGATAGTTCAATCCAAGTAGTTCAATATTAAATTTCTACTAATACCAAAATTGAGAGAGTTCCAGGAAAACATCCAGTAAATCAAACAAAACTGAAAGGAAAATCTTCAACTTCATTAATACGTCTTATAAAAGAATGCCTTAGCAGAGGTCAGATAGCTATATCAGGAGATTTGTACCACTCTGTTATTAATAAATACAATTCTATATAAAGGACTCATTATCTTCATGTCACTACCAATTTTTTGATGCCTTATCTTTCAGTTTTCAACAAATTTTTCAACAAATCCAAGCTCCCTAAAAGCATTAACAGTAATTTCATTATCATTTTAACTGGAATACTATAAAAGGCAAAGTGATTGACATTTAAAATACAACTGTAAAATAGTATGTTTTCAGTATTTTTAAGATTTCTCTAATATTAGAGACCATAGTGCCATATAACAAACTTTGTATTTAAAAATCAGGTAACTAGATAAACTCAGTAGCAAAAAATAATTCATTATTTAGCAAAAATGACTTCTGGAATACATCAATGCACACATAACCAATCATTATGACCAACTGGACATGACTCACAGCTTTAACTACATGGGTATAAATTTCCACCACACAAAAGACAGTAGGATGCTTTACTTAAATTCCCATTCTGTATCATGCTTCATTTCCAAGTTAGAAACTGGGATAAAATAAAATCCTGTCATACTGTACTATACAGCTGAGAATATCAGAAGAAAGAATTAACTTATTACTTACCAGGATAACTCTTAGGAAGTAAAGTGATTAGAAAGGAGAAGTCTTCAAAAAGTTAATGGAAAGTGACTTATGAAAAAATTACACAACAATTTCAACATTTTTCCATCAAAATAACCTCTTAATTCCATTTTCCATGAACTTTTTGAAGCTCCAGACACTTTAATTCTCCATTTGTGTAACATTTCTCTTTACAGCTTTCTAATCATTCTTATAATAAGTGAAATTGGAAAAAAAAAACTTTCTAGAAAGTTAGTTTATTTAAAAATATGAATTCCTGGGGACCAGAATAGTGGTGCCACAGGTGAAGCTGCCACTTGGGACACTGACATCCCACACCAGAGCTGCTGGTTCAGGCCTTGTCTGCTCTACTTCTGGTCCAGTGTCCTGCTATGCATCCTGGGAAAGCAGCACATGATGGCTCAAGCGTCTGAGACTGAGCCTCAGCTCTGGCTCCAGACTCTGATTTCCAACCGGCATGGACCCTGGGAGGCAGCAGTGATGGCTCAAATACTTGGGTTCCTGCCATCACCTGGTGACCTAGACTGAGTTCTAGGCTCACAGTTTTGGCCTGCCCTAGCCCAGCTATCACCGGCACTTGGTGAATAAGCCAGTGAATAGGGGGCTATCTGTCTCCCCTCTCTCCCGAGCACTCACTGAAAAAATCTGAACTCCTTCCTGTTAATTACACCATGAATTAAAATTAAAATCAAAGAATGAAGACTGTAGCAGCATAGAAAAAAGACCCTTTATCTCAATTTAAAAATCCTAACTAGAACGCCAACAAAGGAAAATAAATACTAACACTAAGTGACAGAAGAGTCTTTAAAACTAAGCAACTTGAAAGCTTTTGGAGGCAGGGGTATCATTCCGTAAATGCTGTGTCTTACAATCTTGAATATTTATAAACACCGATCATTAGAGAAGCAATATATACACTACAGTAATTACTAGCTAACACTGTCTGGATAGCAGGCTCCAAGAGCTGAGTACTTTTTGTTTACCATATTCCAAGCCAATATAAATTCTGAAAGAATCTAACTTTATTTAGATTCAATGAAGACTATTTGGACTCCACCCACGTTGGAGATCACACTGGAGTTCCTGGCCCTTGGCTTTGGCCTGGCCCAACCCCAGCCTTTATGGCCATGTAGTTAACCAGCAGCGGCCAGGGCTGTAGCACAGCAGGTTAACGCCTTGGCCTGAAGCGCAGGCATCCCATATGGGTGCTGGTTCTAGACCCAGCTGCTTCACTTCCCATTCAGCTTTCTGTTATGGCCTGGGAAAGTGTAGAAGATGGCCCAACTCCTTGGGCCCCTGCACCCACATGGGAAACCTGGAGGAAGCTGCGGGCTCATGGCTTCGGATCAGTGCAGCTCCAGCCGTTGTGGCCAATTGCAAAGTGAACCATAAGATGGAAGACCTCTCTCTCTCTCTCTGCCTCTCCTCTCTGTGTAACTCTTTCAAATAAATTAAAAAATCTTAAAAAAAAAAGAAAAAGTTAACCAGCAGATGGAAGGTGGATCTCTGTCTCCTCTCTACCACTACCACCAACCCTGCCTTTCAAATAAATTAGTCTTTCTGAAAATCAATTATTAAAAGAGACCTTCACCAATATTAATCATTAATTTTGAAAATGCAAGGACAGGGGCAGGGCTTTGGCACAGCAGTCAAGACACTGCTTGGTGGGGCCAGGGCTGTGGCGCAACAGGTAAAAGCCCTGGCCTGAAGCGCCGGCTCCCCATATGGACACCGGTTCGTATCCTGGCTCCTCCACTTCCAGTCCAGCTCTCTGCTATGGCCTGGGAGAGCAGTAGAAGATGGCTCAAGTCCTTGGGCCCCTGCACCCACGTGGGAGACCCGAAAGAAGCTCCTTGCTTGTGGCTTTGGAGCAGCACAGCTCCGGCCGTTGCAGGCCATCTCGGGGGTGAACCAGCAGATATAAGACTCACTCTCTCTCTCTCTCTCTCTCTGTCCGTACCTCTCTCTGTAACTCTTTCAAAGAAATGAAATAAATTAAAAAAAAAAAAAAAAAAGACATTGCTTGGGATGCCTGCAACCCATATCAGAGTACAGGGTTGCATTCCCAATTCTAGTTTCCTGCCAATGCACACCCTGAGAGGTAGCAGGTGATGTTCAAGTAGTTGGATTCCTGCCACCCACATGGGAGACCTACATTAACACCCAGCTGCAGCGTCACCTACCAACCCTTGCCAGCATTAGGGGAGTGAACCAGCAGACGGATGCTCTGTCTTGCTCTATCAAACATGCGAGCATTAGGGGAGTGAACCAGCAGACGGATGCTCTGTCTTGCTCTATCAAACAAATAAAAAATTGAGGGGTCAGCATTGTGGCACTGAAACCACAATGCAATGCTGGTATCCCATATGGGCAATTGCTGCCCTACTTCCAATCCATGAGTCACTGTTTTCAATTAAGCACTGAAATTCATTCTACAAAATCCCTTCTACATACTGAGGACTTGTTTCATTTCTCTGGTCAGGGCAGAAAAGAAATTAAAGCATTGAAGAAGTTAAATAAAACTCAAAGTTCATTTACTCAGGCCAAGAGGTACTAACAATCAAAATTACAAAAACTGTGGCCCAGCTGGAAGAATTTTGTATTGTAGGTCTTTTCCTCTCACTGTAACTGGATACTGCCACTAATTACTCTAATTTATTTTACAGAGCAGTACCTTGTATTTGCAGTATATTTGCCCAGATTTGCTCTGGAGAGTTGATGTCTTTCAAGACTGAAAGAAACTGCTGATGATAATGTCACTGATCACAAACTACCTCAGTAAATGGGATGACTGTCAAAAACAAACCAAATTTAGCATGATTTCACTACACTGGCGGAACAGTTAACATCTGAATTCTCCATTTGCCTAAAAAGCCACCTCAGGCCACCTATGATTAAAATACATTTTCTTTTTTTTTTTTTTTAAAGATTTATTTATTTATTTGAAAGTCAGAGTTGCACAGAGAGGAAAGGCAGAGAGAGAGAGAGGTCTTCCATCTGATGGTTCACTCCCAGATGGCTGCAACGGCCAGAGCTGTGCTGATCCGAAGCCAGGAGCTTCCTCCAGGTCTTCCATGCGGGTGCAGGGGCCCAAGGACCTGGGCTATCCTGTACTGCTCTCCCAGGCCATAGCAGAGAGCTGGACTGCAAGTGGAGGAGCCAGGATACGAACCGGTGCCCACATGGGGAGCCGGCGCTTCAGGCCAGGGCTTTTACCTGTTGCGCCACAGCCCTGGCCCCACCAAGCAGCTGGGTCTAGAACCGGCGCCCATACGGGATGCCGGCACTTAAGGACAGGGCGTTAACCCGCTGTACTACAGCACTGGCCACAAAATACATTTTCTAAAGAGGTGAAACAAACTAAAATTGTCAATGTGATTACTAAGAATGGAAGGAGAGCACATTTTTAGACATTCCAGCAAATTAGACACGTTAGTCAAACCTAATATATAATCACTACGAACATTAAAACATGGACAGATATTGGGTGTTAGTACATGCCTTTCATAGTATGCTTTACATTTCATATATATATTTATAAGAAATCCTCCTGATCTATCAATTTTTAGGAAGAGTCAACTGTAATCCACAAGAGCAGAGTTCCTAGAAATAAAAATCAGAAGTGGTATGTTTCAGATTTAACTGTAAAACAACAAAAAATGATTAGTAATACACAATGTAGTACCTAAACAGCCACTGACACACTTCAAATCCTTTTAATGGGCAAATCGATCACCAAATTAACAAATATCCAAGACTTGTCAGCAATAAAAATGCATTTCTTATGAATAACATAAAACTTCTGAGCAAAGATTATCAAACTTTTCTGCTAACTCATTTGTAAGTCTGGACCTTTTAAATTATTTTAAGACTTTCTCAACAGTTAAAAAAAACCACTTGACTCTATCAAAGGTAAATATTTTGTGATTTAACATATAATAAAACATCTACAGTAACAGTAAAATATAAACAAAACAAAATCAGTCTTTAATAAGAATTTTTGGCATATACTTTTTTAGTATTTGTATACATATACATATAAATACATACACAAACACAAATATATTTACCATTCTTTTTTTTTTTGACAGGCAGAGTTTAGACAGTGAGAGAGACAGAGAAAGGTCTTCCTTCTGTTGGTTCTTAAAATAAAATTGATTATGATATTAATTAAGAGTGTATCATGAGAGCCGGCACTGTGGCACAGCAGGTTAAGTTGCCATCTGCAGCACTGGCATCCCATGTGGGCACCAGTCCTACCTCCTCCACTTTTGATCCAGCTACCTGCTAATGTGCCTGGGAAAGCAGCAGAAGATGGCTCAAGTGCTTGATCCCTGCACTCATGTGGGAGACCCAAAAGAAGTTGGCCAGTGCCACAGCTCACTAGGCTAATCCTCCGCCTGCAGCGATGGCACTCCGGGTTCTAGGCCTGGTTGGGACGCCAGTTCTGTCCCAGTTGCTTCTCTTCCAGTCCAGCTCTCTGCTGTGGCCCAGGAAGGCAGTGGAGGATGGCCCAAGTGTTTGGGCCCTGCACCCGCATGGGAGACCAGGAGAAGCACCTGGCTCCTGGCTTCGGATCAGCGTGGTGCGCAGGCTGTGGCGGCCATTTGTGGGGGGGTGAACCAACAGAAGGAAGACCTTTCTCTCTGTCTCTCTCTCACTGTCTAACTCTGCCTGTCATAACAAGAAAAATAAAATATAGAAGAAATTTCCTTGCGTCTTTGCTTTGGATCACCCCAGGTCCAGCCATTGCAGCCATTTGGAGAGTGAACCAGCGGATGGAAGACTCTCTCTCACTCTCTCTCTCTCTCTGCCTCTGCCTCTAACTCTGCCTTTCAAATAAATAAATCTTTTTTTTTACAAAAAAAAAAAAAGGTATAGAGAGGGGCCAGCATTGTGATGTAAAGGGTAAAGCCGCCACTGTGACACCAGCATCCCATATGGGTGTCGGTTCACGTTCTGATTGGTGGTGCACTTACTTCTGATCCAGCTCCCTGCTAATAAATAGCATGAGAAAAGCAGCAGAAGATAGCCAAGGTACTTGGGCCTTTGCTTCTATGTGGGAGACCTGGAAGAAGCTCCTGATGCTTGGCTTCAGCCTGGCTCAGCCCCGGCCATTGCGGCATTTGGGGAGTGAAGCAGAGGATGCAAGATCTCTCTGTGTCTCCCTCTCTGTAACTCTTTCAAATAAATAAATAAATAAATATTTAAAAAAAAAAAAAGACAGGAATATAGAGTATAAGGTTATGTTCTCTGCCAGGACAAATACCACATGTAAGCCAAGAGCATGTCACATGCTTTGCTGGCCAAGGAAAGAAAACGGTGGTGTCCTATGAAAATCAAGAAAATTTACATGAACAGTTGGTCAAACAGAAGGGCTTCTCTGAGGATGTGATCAAGACGTGCCTGAAGGTAGAATCAAGATTTTCTGAAAAACCAATCCCTAAATTACTCAGCTAGAGGAAAAATACCTGCACTGAGAAAATAAAAATAAGTGTGTATGCAAGTATGCTGAGTGAAGCGGGAGGGCTAACAATTATGCTGTCTGGCATGGTCTACCCATTATTCTGACTCCGATCCATCTCATGTTTTGGTGTTAACATATACCATTTTTCATGAAATCATAGTAGTGGTCATATTTTTTGGTTCTGACATTTCATGTGGCAAAATGAAAATTCAAAAGAGTGAGTCTTTTGTTGAAATTTTCCTGTTCCCTGTAATCCAGAAGTCAGGAATCATACCATAACACACAGCTAGAAGAAAATACAAGAACATAATTTAAAAAGGCTGGGTGTTTTGTTTTGGTTTGTTTTTTTTTGCAGAGAAGGAAAAAAAACTATACTCATTATAGTTACTCACTTATCAAAAAAGTCAAATTAAAAGAATTAGCATTTATGTCTGGCTAGATTTGGTTTGACATTTTGATGCCCTTGCAAAGAAAGTGAAAGAAGGAAAAAATAATTAACAATAACAATCTCTGGACGCTGAAATACAGAAAAATCATTGTTCTTTTCTTCTTTCCACTATAGTGTACTTCTAAGATTTTTCTGTGGTATATATGCACAATTTATTCAAATGGGATTTTGGGGCTGGCACTGTAGCATAGTGGGCTATTAAGCCTCTGTCTGGGGCACCAGCTTCCAATATGGACACTGGTTCTAGTCCCAGCTGCTCCTCTTCCAATCCAGCTCTCTGCTATGGCTTCGGAAAGCAGTGGAAGATGGCCCAAGTGCTTGGGCCTCTGCACCCATGTTGTAGACCTGGAAAAAGCTCCGGGCTGCTAGCTTCAGATCATCCCAGCTCTGTTCTTTGTGGCCATTTGGGGAGTGAACCAGCAGATGGAAGACGTCTGTCTATATATATCACCCTCTCTATATAGCTCTGCCTCTCAAATACATAAATAAATCTTTAAAAAAAAATACAACAGGATTTAGAAGTGTAATTATATCTTAATATCACTACCCTTTAATTATTTTAAATAATAGTTTTGAAATAAAAGTACAAAATTAAATGTGAACAGAATCTTATTCATGCTTCTATACTGATTAAAATAGTGAGGCTGAATACATTAAAATAGTGATGCAAAATACATTGTTCAATTCATTCATTGCAAACAAGTAAGTGCTATGCTAAGCAAGATCTTTAAAAAAACACAGAATTCCTGACAAACTACCTTACTCTTGAACTGTTCTTTTTTAAAGGATTTAAGCATGACAATCTTTTATTTAGTCCCCAAACATTTCTATCCTCCCATTATTCTTCTACAAAGGGATTCTCAATTTGGGTATCATCCTCCCAAAAGCCATCAAAAGAACAGACTCCCAGGAATTAAAAATTACAGTTATACAAAACTGTATTCCTCAACCTTGATAATTTCTGATCCATGTACCAAAAAAAAATGAGCCTTCCTTTTTCCCAGTTCCCAATATTCTTTGTATAGAAACACTGCTTTAGGACAGCAAATCATCTCCACTTTCCAAACTCTTATTTTTCTGGTGTCTTTGACTGAATTGCGGATAAATATAAAATAATTTATATTTTTCAGAATCTAAATATAAAAATCATGGGCAGTCACTTGCCCAGTGGTTAAGACATCCAGTTAGGAATCTCACATGGCTGTCAGAGTCCCTGGGTTCGAGTCCCAATCTGCTCCTGGGAACAGCTACCTGCTGATGTGCACCCTGGGCGATGGCTCCCAGGGCCGCTCGAGTGCTTGAGTCCCTGCCATCCACGTGGAAGACCTGGACTGAGTTCCTGTCTCCAGACTTTAGTCCCTGTCCAGGACCACTGCAGACATACAAGGAGTGAAGCAGTGGATGGGAGCTTGCTCTCTGCCTCTTGAATGAATGAATAAACCAATGAATTTATGAATAGATAAATACATATTCTTTCAAAAACAAGTAAATGTTAAAAGCATCAAACTGCAATAGAGGGAAATTTTAAATAGGTCTCTTTAAAAGCTGCATTGCAAAAAACAATTTGTTACAGAGCAGATGAACGACACACTGACAGTCATCTCAAAGCAGCTCCATTCACCCAAAGGTGCTTCAAAAGATACATTAGGAACCCAAAAGCTGTAAGCCACTGATAATTCATATGCTTGCAGGTACAGCTGTTAAAATGTTAACTTTTAGAAGCAGAGAATGTAAGGTCCAGGAAGAAAACAACGGTGTTTCTACCTTGTCCACCGCTATACTCCCATGGAATAAACACATGACTATTATAAAAGGGTACTGCCCAAAGTTTGTGGAGAATGGAAGAAAAAGTTTATTTCAGTTCCAAAAATAAATTTCTAAAATTCAAGCATTTGAAGAGGTGAACCAGAGGATGAAGATTTCTCTGTCTCTCTTGTCTCTTGGCTTTTCAAATACAATGAAAATGAATAAACTAGAAAGTTTTAATTTTTTTTATAAATGATAAAATCTAGATGGGGGGAAGTTCATAATAATTAAAATTTATTTCAGCAACAAGAGAATAATTTCACTCCTGTCTCAAATGAAAAATAAAACCACGATGAATGCTGCTGGTGCTTATGTTCACAGGTCTTCCGAACCTTCAGCTGTATCAACATAACGGGTCCACAACAAAGTAATCTTGGGCTACAAAAGTGGAGATAGAAAAACTGTCGAAAAATAAAAACAGTGAAACCCACATTTCTTAAAGATTTGTTCAAAGCAACAATACAGAAATATAGTTTCGTGAACCTTAGAAAGAACTCCCTAAAACAATACTATTTAAAGATAAGATCTACAGAGAAAACAGCAAAATATAGTTTAGCTGCATTTCAGTTTTAAAATTTGGGAAAACAACCATCATACTTACTCTGTAAATAGTGCAAAACCATCAATACAAGACTATAGCTGTTTAAAGTACCACGACTGGCGTCGTTTATATCATGGTGACTGGCCCACTTCTTAATCACCAGCACTAACGGACGAACTCGATTTTCAACTGAAAGTAAAATTAAAACTTAAAAATCGTAAGAAGATATCAATTTCTTTAAAAATTTAAATCATTTCCCAATTTTGTACCAGTAAAAGATCACTATCTGTATACTAAACACAATCATGTTTTTTACTTCTGAAATTTACCTGTTACCTTTAAAAAACTATCAAATATTAAAAGATACTTGATTTACCTATAATTCTGGGAGTATATGATTTTAGAATAGCAACATCCTATACAAATAATCAAATAAAACATGATATCCCTAAACACAACTAATGAAACTACAAACATCTTTTAAAAGAATAACGAATGAAAGAAAAACAGAAGCTGACATTTATAAATACACCAAAAACTTACGGTATGCATAAGTTCTGAGAAGGAATGTGTTTCTTATTCCAGCAATATTGTTTACATTCAAGTCAAACTCCACACAACTATTAAAAGAAAAAAAAGGGGGGGGGGGACAAGCTGTAGCTCAATTACAAATAACCTCATTCCCTAGTAACTAAGTTAATGCCCATCAACCCAGCAGTGCGGACAGAATACCACGAGTCCAAAGGACCCAGATGTGGGGTTCTGTATTGTTTGTTTTTAAATACTTCATTTATTTATTTGAGATGGAGTTTCAGAGAAAGGGAGAGACAGAAAGGTCTTCCATCTGCTGGTTCCCGCCCCAGATGGCCACAGCAGCTGGAGCTGGGCCAATCCGAAAGGAGCCACAAGCATCTTTTGCGTCTCCCATGGGGTGCAGGGCCCCAAGCACTTGGGCCAGCCTCCACTGCTGGCCAGGCCACAGCAGAGAGCTGGACTAGAGGACGAGCAGCCAGGACACGAGCTGGTGCTCAGATGGGATCCCAGGGCAGGCAGAAGTTTAGCCTATTATGTCACAGTGCCAGCCTCCTTCTAGATGTGTTTGTAAAATGAGGCATATAAGAATAAATACTTACTAAGCCATTATGACGTGGTCTGGTGCTGACTAGACTACTACTGCAAGATCTATAATGTACTAGACAGGTCCCAATTACCCAAAGAAAGCAATTTTTACAATCATGTGCTCCTTTCCAGATAAACCGATTACATAACCAAAAACACTTCTTTCTGGGCAAGTTGTACCACTACGTCATATACTCTCATGTAATTTGGAACTACTGCATTATTTACCTTAAAACAATCAGAATAAAGGGTCAAATATGTTTTTTTTTAAAGTGTCTAAACATTCCATTCCTTCTAAAAAGGCTAATGGATTATGATACATCAAATATAGCTTAAGCATGTAACAGAAAGGATACTTTTTTTTATATATGGTTTATTTATGTATTGAAAGGCAGAGTTAAAAAGCATCCACTGGTCCACCTCCCAAATGACTTCAACAGCCAGGACTGGGCCGTCTGGACCCAAAAAGCCAAGTGAAACCAATGTTCACATGGAAAGCCAGCGACACAGACAGCAACTTAACCCACTGTGCCACACTGCCAGCCCCTTCTTTAAAAGCAAAGATATTGTCCACTTAGCATTGTAGAAAATTGGAAATAATGATGGAAACTACAAAGAATAGCTAACCTCATTACAAAGGAAGGGTTATTTTTAGGTAATACTGAAATTCTACAAAGTCCAACTTCTTCTGAATACATTTTCCTTTTCTTTTTTATAAGATGTGTTTTGGGGCCAGCACTGTGGCACAGTAGGTTAATCCTCCACCTGTGGTGCCGGCATCCCATATGGCCGCCGGTTCTAGTCCTTGCTGCCCCTTTTCCAATTCAGCTCTCTGCTATGGCCTGGGAAAGCAGTGGAAGATGGCCCGAGTGCTTGGGCCCCTGCACCCACTTTGGAGACCCAGAGGAGGCGCCTGGCTCCTGGCTTCGGAACGGCTCAGCTCCGGCCACTGTGGCCATTTGGGGAGTGAACCAGCAGATGGAAGACCTTTCTCTCTGTCTCTCCCTCTCACTGTCTGTAACTCTACCTCTCAAATTTAAAAAAAAAAAAAAAAACTTAAAAAAAAGAAAAGATTTGTTTTATTTATTTCAAAGGCAGAGCTACAGAGATAAAGGGAGAGACAGGGAGAGGTCATCCATCCGCTGGTTCACTCTCCAAAAGGATGCAATGGCAGGGACTGGACCAGGCCTAAACCAGGAATTTCTTCCAGGTCTCCTATGTGGGTGGCAGGGGCCCAGGGACTTGGGCCATATTCTGCTGCTTTTCCCAGGTCATTAGTAGGGACAAGAACTGGAGCAGCCAAGGTTCAAACCAGCACCCATGTGGGATGCTGGCATCACAGTGGCTTTACCTACTAAGCCACAATACCACCCCCTGAATACCACATTTTTCAATGAAAAGACTGCCTAAAGTAAAACTCTGACAAGGCCAGCGCCGCGGATCAATAGGCTAATCCTCCGCCTTGCGGCACCGGCACACCGGGTTCTAGTCCCGGTCGGGGCGCCAGATTCTGTCCCGGTTGCCCCTCTTCCAGGCCAGCTCTCTGCTGTGGCCAGGGAGTGCAGTGGAGGATGGCCCAAGTACTTGGGACCTGCACCCCATGGGAGACCAGGATAAGTACATGGCTCCTGCCATTGGATCAGCACGGTGCGCCGGCCGCGGCGGCCACTGGAGGGTGAACCAACGGCAAAGGAAGACCTTTCTCTCTGTCTCTCTCTCTCTCTCTCACTGTCCACTCTGTCAAAAAAAAAAAACTCTGACAAAACACTTTTCCACAGCTTGTAACTACAACATCTGAAATTTATCATCTGTTTTTCTTGTTGGGGGAACACAAAACAATATGACAATCTGCATTATCCTTGTATATTAATAAAAATGGACTATAGTATTAACACCTCAGAAACATATTTAGCACTGAAAAACTCATGATAACAACAGAATCACATTTTTGAGGCCGGTGCTGTGACACAGTAGGCTAAGCCTTTGCCTGCAGCACCAGCATCCCATATGGGCACTGGTTCAAGTACTGGCTGCTCCTCTAACAATTCAGCTCTCTGCTTATGGCCTGAGAAAGCAGTGGAAGACGGTCCAAGTGCTCGGGCCACTGCACCTATGTTGGAGGCCCAGAAAAAGCTCCTGGCTTCAGATCGGCTCAGCTCCAGCTGCTGTGGCCTTTTGGAGAGTGAACCGGAGAATTGAAGACCTTTCTCTCTGTCCTTCCCTCTCTCTGTATGTAACTCTCTCAAATAAATAAATAAATCTTTAATTTAAAAAACAGAATTACATTCTTTACTGTACTTGTGTAAGTTGTACACACTGAAGCCAGTTTGTACTTCCTCCACTTCACAGAGGGAAAAAAAAATAGGTGAAAGAGCAGGCAACGTGGCACAGCAGGTTAAGTCACTGCTTGGAATGCCCACCTCCCCTACTGGAGTTACTGCGAGCGCGTCCTGCCTCTGCTTCTGATCCAGCTTCCTTCTAATGTGCAAGGGAGACAGCAGACAAGGCCCAGGTACTTGGGTTCCTGTCACCTGGATGGAGTTAATGAGTCCTGGCTTTGACCTGACCCAGACCTGCCTGTTGCAGACATTTGAGGAGTGAACTGGCAGATAGATATCTATCTCTGTCACTTTGCCTTTCAAAGAAATAAATCTTAAAAAACAAAAACAAAAACAAAAAAAACACTTAGATAGAAACAAGTCTATAAATATTTTTTCAAAAATGTGGATTTTAACCTTTAAAACATCCAAAGCACTGCTAAAACACTACTTCTGGAAATACCAAGAAAGTAATCCTCAATACGGGATGAATTTTAATCACAAAATGCTTATTTATAGCAATTAAAAAATAGAAACAAATGCTCAAGCACAGAGACTGATTAAGTTAGATAATTTATTCACTGGATGCCACAAAAAAATACTTAATGACATAGCAAGTGCTCATGATATATGGTTATAAATAAAAAGATCCCAATTTTACTTTAAAAAATCCTTATGCATTCACATGCATAGAAGACACTGATTGAATGATTTATACTGAAATGTCAACAGCTGTTATCTTTGGGTGTTAGGAGTAGATGGTTTGTGTGTCTTTGTGTGTATTTTATGATTTGTATAGAGAAGAATTATGAAATGATGCCTATAAAAATTAATCATGACAAACATTTGTATAATAAACTTAAATACAAAAATAATTAATTTTATCTACGTACTACACTCATGTAAATATTAAAAACAATTATAATTAGTTAATATTTCAGAAGTTTATCCCCTCTTTATCTTTGGGTTTCAGCAAACCATAATGCTATCTGACGACAATTCAAGAAGCATTCATAGATTAGGTGAATAGAAGGAAAGGCTTGAGCCAGGCATTAAGGTTTGTCTACAATGTATATATATATATTCAGTCAATCCTCAAAATTCACAGTACCTGAGACACTGAATAAGCAGATTAACCATTGTTCTTAGGGAATACAGCAATCAAGTCTTAGCATGTTCATCAACCAATCAATATATAACTGCTTTATATTGTGTTTCTGTTTAAAGACATCTTATTTAATGTGTGTATAGTTGATCTGTCAACAGCAAACCCATGGCCAAGAGCCCAATAACGCAAGTCTGAATAGAGCCTATCTGACACACGTTTTCTCCACGGGGCACTCCACAGCCTTCTTGTATCCAGGAAACTCATGACTACACTTGGGGCCATTTGAACAGTGAACACACACAGAAACGTGGAAAACATGGCACTAACTAGACTGGGACAAGGACAAATGCTTGCAATACTAAAGCTGCAACAAGAAAGCACAGCACTGCCTTATTCAGGCCCAGCTGGGACCAAGCTTGTGAGGCAACTCAAAAATGTGGCCTCTCCATGTGTGTCTGCAGATGACCACTAAAGTATACAAATACTGATGTAGGAGGTTACCAACACATTTTAGCAAACATATGCATTGTGAAAACAGACTCCTTGAACAATAAAGTCTTTATTTCATTATTACTTTTGTAAAACTTAAGCTAGAAAAACATGATTTAACATAGTCTTATCTATGTTTAGAAAACAAAAGATCTTTTTGAACTAATCAAAAAAATCACCACCTAATTTTATTTTATATGTAGACATTATATAAAAGATTTTATTGTTCTTAAGCAACTCAGAACCCAGGCTGGTAGATTACACAGTAAAATATGAATTTTGAAGTGGAGTAAGTCTATTTTGTGAGTTTTTAGAATATCCGTTGTTTTAGGTATTATCTGGGTCCCACTGAAATGAAACAGAAGGGATAAGTACTTAGCCTAGCACTTAAGATGACCATGTCTCGTATTAGAGTGTCTGGATTCAATTCTCGGCTCTGGCTCCTGACTCCAGTTTCTTGCTAATGCAGACCCTGGAGGCATGGTGATTAGCAAGTAATTGGGTTTTACCACGAATGTGGGAGACGTAGGCTGAGCTCCAGGCTCCCAGCTCCTAGCTGCAGCACAGAGTACACCACAGATCTCTCTCTCTCTGCCCCTCATTAAAAAAAAGTTACTTTATATATACCATAGCTGTATTTACAAAAAATCCCTTGATATACGCATCAAATTTCATCAGGTAAGATATGTTCTTGAGAATGCATTACAAACTCAAAAGATGACAGATCATTTAAGAACCCCCAAAATAAAATATGTACATATTCTTTCAATTAAATAATCTCAAATACTCAAAATGTCCTGTAGAATAAGTAAACATGAGGAAATTGCTCAGACTATTTTAAAACTACTATTTTTATACATATATATATATTAAAGTTTTAGCATATTTTATTAGAAAGACAGAAGAAGAGAGAGAGTGAAATCTCCCATTTACTGATTCACTCCCCAAATGGTCACAACTGCCAGGTTAGGTCAGGTCAAAGCCAGGAGCCAGGAGCTTCATCAGGGTTTCCCACCTGCTTGGCAGGAGCCCAAGGACTTGAGCCCTCTGCGGCAGCTTTCCCAGGCCATCAGCAAGGAGCTAGATCAGAAGTGAAGCAGCCAGACACAAACCAGTGCCCATATTGGATGACAGTGTCACAGGCAGCAGTTTTACCTGCTAAGCCAGAACACAGGTTCCTAAAAATACTATTTCAAAGACCAATTCAAGTGACCTCTAAAAATTACTGAAGACAACCTATTAAGCTATAAAATGCATCTCTTAATTGTCTGTATTAGATAAATATCCCAAAATAATGAAAAGAGTTCGGTAATTAATTACCTGACTTTATCCCTGAACTTCACAATTGGCACTTTTGCACGAATCAGCTGAGGTCTCTCAATGTAGCCAGCTGAAGGATAAAAGACAGCGTGAGTATCTGCAAACACTTCTCAAACTCAGTGTTCCAATGCACAGTTTTTAAAAACAGCATTTTACTAAGCTAAACCAATTCAAGAGTATGTCTTTGAGAAATAAAGCAAAAAAAGAGATTATCAAATTCTAAGGTTGGTGGGTCTAGTAATACCCGTTACAGATCTTCATCTTTAAGTTATTTCTAGGAATGTGGTCTAATTTTTTTTTTTTTTTTTGACAGGCAGAGTGGACAGTGAGAGAGAGAGACAGAGAGAAAGGTCTTCCTTTGCCGTTGGTTCACCCTCCAATGGCCGCCGCAGCTGGCGCGCTGCGGCCGGCGCACCGCGCTGATCCGATGGCAGGAGCCAGGAGCCAGGTGCTTTTCCTGGTCTCCCATGGGGTGCAGGGCCCAAGCACCTGGGCCATCCTCCACTGCACTCCCTGGCCACAGCAGAGAGCTGGCCTGGAAGAGGGGCAACCGGGACAGAATCTGGCACCCCAACCGGGACTAGAACCCGGTGTGCCGGCGCCGCTAGGCGGTGGATTAGCCTAGTGAGCTGCGGCGCCAGCTAATGTGGTCTAATTTAATTTATAACAGTACTTATAAAGAAGTCCATCAGAGTAAGAGTGACAAACATGCCAGCTAGTAGCAGTGTGATAGCTGGATTCTGGCATGACACACAGTTAAGATGTGGCAGCCGAAGCAATCATATTTAGAGTTAAATACAAACAAGCTTACAGCATGAGCACAGTGACATGTTTAAATAAGTATGATCTATAAGAAGAAAAAACACTTATTCTGAGTTCAAATACATGTTCTTTGTAGAAAATGAGAAAAATATAGAAATATATTTTTTAAAAAATTCTGTAAAGCTTCCCAAAATGAGCTATTTCTCAGACTTTTTAAAAAAAATTTTCTGTAGTCAAAACCAATTTTATTTATTTATTTGAGAGGTAGAATTACAGACAGAGAGAGGGAAAGACAGAGAGAGGTCTTCTATCTGCTGGTTTACTCCCCCAAATGGCCACTACAGCTGGAGCTGGGCAGATCTGAAGCCAGGAGCCAGGAGCTTCTTCCAGGCCTCCCACGTAGGTGCAGCAGCCCAAGCACTTAGGAATCTTCTACTGCTTTCCCAGGCCATACCAGGGAGCTAGATCGGAAGAGGAGCAGCTGGGACATGAACTGGTACCCATATGAAATTCTGGTGCCACCACAGGTGGAAGCATAACCCACAATGCCACAGCGCCGGTTCCAATGACAGATTTTTGAAAAAGAAAATTGAAACTTCTCTGTTACATTTCTACCATCAAAATCATAAATATATCAAGCTTCAGAACAGAATATGTACCAGAATTCAATGAAATTCAAGGAAAAATAAGACCAGAATTTTAAAGGTTTTGCATGACAAATACAAGTTCTGACATCAATAAACCATACTAGACAGGTCAGTTACTGAACTCATTGATCACTAGTCTTCTTAACCATGATCAGGAACCCCACTGTGCAGCAGCAGGTAAAGCTGCCATCACAATGCCAGCATCTGCTACTGGAGTGCCAGTTCAAGTCCCAGCTGCTTCACTTCCAAACCAGCTCTCTGATAATTCGCCTGGAAAGCACAAGATGGATTAAGTATTTGCGGTCCCTGCAACCCACATGGGAGATGTGGATAGGGTTCTAGGCTCCTGGCTTTAGCCTGGCAAAGCCTGGGCCATTGTGGCCATTTGAAGAATGAACCAGCGGACAAAGGATCTCTTTGATCCTCGCTGTCACTCTGCCATTCAAATACATATAATGAATCTTCTAAAAAAATGAAAAAACAATAATCTAAGTTAGGAGGAAATCTTCATTTGAATTAGATGATCCTACAGTCCCTTCCATTTTAAATATTTTTTTTCCATTTTAAGTATTTTTTTAGTTTAATATCTATCAGAAATCCACTGAAGGTATGAATTACTCCATTTCACATGCAAAAACTTAAGTCTACTGAAATTAGTCACTGTTCTACTCTACAGGGTAGTAAATTCTTACTTGACTATATTTTCAAGCTCAAAGCTTTGTACATAACAAGTGTCCATTAAAAGTAAATGGATAAACAGCTTTTTAACACCACAGTTAATATGACTCCAACCTTGCTCAAGATTTTGTGGAAGTTTAAAATACACTGAGATGACTTAGCCATACAGGTTAAAATCTGTTTACAGTCTACTTACTCAAAGAATACATTCTTACAATAAATTAATCTAAGTCAACAACTTTGCTCTCTGTGGGAGTAACACTGTTCAGTCAATATTCACATTTTTTAAGTAGGTAAAGATATGAACCATTGCAAAACATATGAAATTCTCTCTTCCAATGGCTACAGGTCTTAATCTGTATCACTCTTTGGGCTTTCAGATACTCTGGGTTACAGCTACTCATTCAGGCCTTCCTTTCCCTCTCACAGATCACACTTTTGTGAGAAAAAGAACCAAAGCTAATTTATCTTTAAATCTTTCATTTCATTCATTTGGATGTTCTACAAATAATTTCAATAAAGATGTGTTGAATCCATAGTCACTCTTCTTTTTAATCAAGTTAAAAGGAATTCATTTGGGGAAAAAAGGGCCCACATTGTATCTTGATCAGAAAATAATTCTTAAAAGTAAGGTGAGAGACATTTTAAATAAAATTATGTGAGATGACATACATCTAAGGCAAGTTAGACTTACAGAGTCTGGTACAGAAGTGTTTATGGACTAAGGTGAGTATATGTCGTGCTTCAGTCTTCTGGTTTACCTGAAAAAAAGACTGAGAAGTTACAAACAAAGAGTTTCTTCATTATCTTGTTAAGCTTAGTATTTCACATTCTTAAAGGATCTTAACAAAAAGAAAACACACAAAGCATCTTTTTCTTGGGAGTCAGTTTTGAGTTCACACTAAACCACATTACAGAAAAAACTAAGCTTTAATGTTGCTTTTTACAGCCACATCTCTAAATCAACACCTGGCTTTAAGCTTAGGGTAACTTTTCAAGAACTTTTGAAGCAGACATAATTGTGATTTTCTCCCTTCAAGAAAAATATACAACAAAATTCCTCTCCAACAAAAATAAAGAAAACTTTAACTTCTATGACGTGTTTTACTTCCCTATCTAGATTGGGGACTACTTAAGGACAGGTCTTTACATACAGCGTTGTCTTGGTTTGAGTACAAGCTACGACATTATGATTCAGACATGTGACTAAGACTGGAGGATCCAAGAGACTGCCCGAGTGTAGTCCAACCATACAACAAAGGTTTCATTAAAGCTCCACTACAGGGGCAGGCATGTTGGTCTAGTGGTTAAGACACCGCCTGGGACTTCTGCATCCCCTATAGGAGTGCCAGAGTTCCATTACTGGTCCAGCTCCCAACTGCAATTTCCTATTAACGTGAACCACGGGAAGACAGCCGTAATGGCTCAAGTAGTTGGGGCCTTGCTACTCAGGGAGGAGATCTGGACTGAGTTCCAGTCTCCAGTCAGTCATGTGGGGAGTGAACCAGCAGCTGGGAGCTCTCTGTCAGTGTGTCTCTTTGCCTCTCACAAAAGAAAAAAAAATTTTTTTTTAACATTTACGTTACTTATTGGAAAGACAGAGTGACTGAGAGAGGCAGTGACAAAGAGATCTTCTATCCAAATGGACAAGACAGTCAGGGCTGGGCCAAGCCAAAGCCAGGAGCCCAGATTTCATCCAGGTCTCCTACGTAGGTTCAGGGGCTCTGGCACTCAGGCCGTCTTCCACTACTCCCCAGGAGCACGAGCAGAGAGCTGGAGTGGAAGCAGAGCAGCAGGGATACAAACTGGCACCCATAAGGGACACCAGAGTCACAGACAGAGGCTTAACAGTTGCGCCACAGGCCGGCGCCGTGGATCAATAGGCTAATCCTCTGCCTGCGGCGCCGGCACACGGGGTTCTAGTCCCGGTCGGGGCGCCGGATTCTGTCCCGGTTGCCCCTCTTTCAGGCCAGCTCTCTGCTGTGGCCCAGGAGGGCAGTGGAAGATGGCCCAAGTCCTTGGGCCCTGCACCCGCATGTGAGACCAGGAGAAGCACCTGGCTCCTGGCTTCCAATCAGTGCGGTGCGCCGGCCGCAGTAGCCATTGGAGGGTGAACCAACGGCAAAGGAAGACCTTTCTCTCTGTCTTTCTCTCTCACTGTCCACTCTGCCTGTCAAAACAAAAACAAAAAAACAAACAAACAAAAAAAACAGTTGTGCCACAACACTGGCCCAAAACGTATTTTTTAGAACACAAAAAAGCTGCACTATGTTTATAATTTGAGGATACTGGTTTTTGGTTTTGTTTTTTTGTTTTTTGTTTGTTTTTTTTTTTAGCTTTTCCTTTATATGATTTCAAAGCCCAGCAACGGCTCTTTTGTACTAATGATTCTGAACATAATCCCCATTAAAATCATACTGAGGCCGGTGCCGCGGCTCACTAGGCTAATCCTCCGCCTTGCAGCGCCGGCACACCGGGTTCTAGTCCCGGTCGGGGCGCCAGATTCTGTCCCGGTTGCCCCTCTTCCAGGCCAGCTCTCTGCTGTGGCCCGGGAGTGCAGTGGAGGATGGCCCAAGTGCTTGGGCCCTGCACCCCATGGGAGACCAGGAGAAGCACCTGGCTCCTGCCAACGGCCATTGGAGGGTGAACCAACGGCAAAGGAACACCTTTCTCTCTGTCTCTCTCTCTCTCACGTCCACTCTGCCTGTCCAAAAAAAAAAAAAATCATACTGAACTGGTGGCCGACGTTGTGGCACAGCGGGTTAAGGCCCTAGCCTGACGCGCCGGCATTCCATATGGGCGCCGGTTCTAGTCCCAGCTGCTCCTCTTCCGATCCAGCTCTCTGCTGTGGCCTGGGAAAGCAGTAGAAGATGGCCCAACTCCTTGGGCCCCTGTACCCGCATGGGAGACCTGGAGGAAGCTCCTGGCTCCTGGCTTTGGATTGGCGCAGCTCCGGCCATTGCAGCCCTGTGGGGAGTGAACCATCAAATGGAAGACCTCTTTCTCTCTGTCTCTACCTCTCTCTGTAACTCTTTCAAATAAATAAAATAAATCTTTTAAAAAAATCATACTGAACTTAATTTAAGCTGTGGAGTTCAAAGAAACCTCACCACACTAAAAGGGCTGCTTCAGCTCATCTTACTGAACACCAATTACTGAGGTATGAAGATACACCCAAGAGTATCATTAACAGGAAATTTAAATATAGTCCTAAATAATACAACCTGGTTGCTAAATAAAATAAAAACAAAGCCAAAATGTCTAAGAAAAATATACTTAATAAATCACAACAATCTTATTTTAAATTCAGTAAAATCTTTTTGTTTTCCCAAAATACGAATTCCAAATCTCATAGCATTATCAAGGGAAAAAAATTAATATTAAAAACAAAATCACTGAGGACTCAAATGGAGAGGAAATAGATGAGGAAGAAAATACCACATGCTCTTCTTTGCTGTATCCTGACAATACATCCAACCCAATGGTGCTTTAAAACAGAGGCAGAGCTCTTAAAAATATATAATGGAGCCATCTCACTTTAATAACTTACAACTAAATAATGTTAGGGTTCTGGCATACTGATTGTGCACATGTCTTAAATGAAAAAGAAGCATTTCCTGGGTTTCCTAGAATTATCATAAACAGAAAATCCAGAAAAACAATTAAAACAAAGCAAGTTGTTTTCCTTAATGTCCTTTATATGACACAACACAAGAAGACACTCGGAATAGATGCTTCACTACTTACTGGTTCCTCTTTAACAACCAGGCATAAGTCACCATCACTGGTTCGAGTACCAAATCCATTTAAAGAGGATCCAACCAAAAAAAGTCTGCTTTCTAGAGAAACAGAAGACAATTTTCAGATGCTATTTAAAATTGAAATAAGAACGTATATGCAAAAAAAGCATGCAAAACAGGGAAACATACGCGGAAATAACAGCTGGATTTCTCTCTGCAGCTGTGTTCGGCAGAGTTCTTTCTTCTTTAAATCACTTATTTGCTGCTGACATGTTTCAAATAACTCCAGTATCTGCTGACTCAACTTGAATTCACCACAAAAGATTAAAGATTTTATTCAGAAATGTTAAAGACACTAATATTAAAAAATGTAAATCAACTCTACTGGCAGTATTTTAAAAATAAATATATAATATCTTAGCACATTCTGAGACAAAACTGTTACTTGAGTACAATGGCTTGAGAAATTCCATTGAAATTTTCAAAGTAAAATTTCACTGACAAGTTACATAAAAGTACAGTCACAGGGGCCAGTGCTTGTCACAGAAAGTTAAGCCTCATGGGGCCGGGGCCGGGGCTGGGGCGTGCAGCCTGCATCCCATATGGATACCAGTTCCAGCCCTGGCTGTTCCAGTTCTCATCCAGCTCCCTGCTAACGTGCCTGGGAAAGGAGCAAAAGACGGTCCAAATACTTTGGCCACTGTACCCGCATGGGAGACCCAGAAGAAGCAGCTCCTGACTCCTGGCTTTGGATCTGCCCAGCTCCAGCCACTGCAGCCATTTGGGGAGCGAACCAGCAGATGGAAGATTCTGTGTGTGTGTGTGTGTGCGTGCGTGCGTGCGTGTATGTGTGCATCTAACTCTGCCTTTGAAATAAAATAAAATAAAATAAATCTTTAAAAAAAAAGAGTGTTAAGACTCTGCCCACAGTATTGGCATCCCATATAGGTGCCACCTTGATTTCTGGCTGTTCCACTTCCAACTCCCTGATTATGTACCTGGGAAAGCAGGGGAAGATGGCCCAAGTTCTTGGGCCCTTCACCCATGTAGAGACCCGGAAGAAACTCATGGCTTTGGCTTGGCCCAGCCCCAGCCATTGTGGCCATTTGGGGGAATGAACCAGTACATAAAAGATCTCTCTCCATCTCTGTATTTCTGCCTTTCAAATATATAAATCAATCTTTAAAACATAAACACCAAATATAACACAAGTCCCTATTTTTTCCATGCTCAGGTAAACCACTCTCTTCTCCATTCTTTTAAAAAAAATCTGAAACTGGACTTCCTGTTGCCATCTTTTTGACCTCCCTATTGATCTATCCATCTGGTGCACACTTTTCCACCCAGCCCAACTCCTACGTGATTTCCTTATCTGTAACGGGTTAGACATATCACAACTCACTGTACTTACGGATTTCTTCTACAAGTATATTTCACCAGTGTACACTCCTATAAACACAGCATAGTCTTGGGGCTGGCGCTGTGGCACAGTGGGTTAATGCCCTGACCTGAAGCGCCGGCATTCCATATGGGCGCCGGTTTGAGACCTGGCCGCTCCATTTCCGATCCAGCTCTCTGCTATGGACTGGGAAAGCAGTAAGAGAACGGCCCAAGTCCTTGGGCTCCTACACCTGCATGGGAGACCTGGAAGAAGCTCCTGGCTCCTGGCTCCTGGCTTGGTATCGGCGCAGCTCCGGCCGTTGTGGCCAATTTGGGAGTGAACCATCGGATCGAAGACCTCTCTCTCTCTCTGCATAACTCTCACTTTCAAAATAAATAAATAAATCTTTAAAAAAAAAAAAACATTATATAGTCTCATAAAATAAACTGGAACTGCTCTAGCCCTAAAACTTTAAATTCCAATATGCCACCTTTGCTTCAAACTCCTATCCAACTCCCACTCTCTTGCTATCCCATAGCTGCTCTTGGAACCACAAAAAAATAAGTAAATAAGTAAATGTTCCACTGAATCTCCTTTTTTTCCAAATTACACCTGAATGGAGTACTTTCCTTCGCTATACAGCCTGCATCCTACAACAATATCCCTGTGTCATGTCACACCTGTCGTGCAACATCCTACCTGACCTTGGGACAACACACATGCACCTTCTCTGCTCTTGCATCTCAGTTGCTAAGCAACAAAACTAGGTGGGGCTGGCACTGTGGCACAGTAGGTTAATCCTCTGCCTGCGGCACCGGCATCCCACATGGGCGCCGGGTTCTAGTCTCGGTTGCTCCTCTTCCAGGCCAGCTCTCTGCTGTGCCCCAGGAGGGCAGTGGAGGATGGCCCAGGTGCTTGGGCCCTTGCACCCGCGTGGGAGAACAGGAAGAAGCATCTGGCTCCTGGCTTCGGATCGGCGAAGCTCCGGCCGTTGCAGCCATTTAGGGAGTGAACCAACAGAAGGAAGACCTTTCTGTCTCTTCTTCTCACTGTCTGTAACTCTACCTCTCAAATAAATGAATAAATAAATAAAATCTAAAAAAATAAATAAAAAAAGAAAACCAGGAAAATTTTAAAAATCACAAAACTGGTCTTTCAAATTGATAGTCTAAGGGCCAGACTCTCATTAATTACTTAGCAATTACTTCCATGTCTCTGGTTAGGTATCACTCCCATCTTTCACCATTATCACTCCAAATCCTTACTACCTCCCCCATGTCCCCTAAAATGTCCTCTCTTCTTTAGAAAATAAGCTTACACTGAAATCTGCTAGGGAAACCGAGGATAGCAGATGTGATACTCCTCAAGCTTCCTAATGACAGACCTACAAACGGGCATATGTGAAACAAGGTCTCTCTGCCCGTCCTGGCAGACAGACTGCCCTCTTCCGCTATTCAAGCCCATCCCGCTACCAGTGCTCTGGTGACTGGGCCTCTTGGTCGCCTCCAGCAACAGACACTGTCAGCTTCTCAGTCTCTCTTCTGCTCTCAGTCAGCCCCTCCCTGGGACTTTCCCATCGTCCATACGCCAGAGAGAGTTTCAGCTACTACTTAAGGTGGCTTCCTTTATGGTATTTACAAGACTCATTCTAAGAAGGCAGAGAAATCCTGGCAATGAAAAGACATAATTTGTTAATGTCCTTAATACTCATCCAACAAAAAAGAAACTAAAGAATAAAACAGAGCAAACCAAATCAAACCAAGCAAAGGGCAACAAATAATTGATTGGGTATCCCTCACAAACCCCAAAATTCGCTAGCTGGGGCCAAACACCAAGAGTAGCAAGACTTACATGGTATTAGAAACAGTTAACAAGAAAGGGAAAGGAAATTAAGCCATCTCAAGAACCAAAACACTCTGAAACCAAACTGCCTACAGGTATTATCTTCCTCCTTCACCCTTGGAACTGAGGGCTCTAACGGTGCAAAATCACAGACAAAACTGGGAGGAGCCTCACAAGCTGCAGTGCACAAGCAAATGCGAGGGGGAGTGGGGTCACGGAGACACCAGAACTCTGACAATTAAATGCATCTCTCTTCCAAGGCGATGTAATACAGCAAAGTGCAAACAGCCCGAAGGAGGAACCTTTGCCAGGCAGAGCCACGAGGGGCAGAGGGAAGGCTCAGAATGACTCGACTCCCAGGGCACATCTGACAATGTCTGCAGACATTCTAGTTACCACAATGAGGCGGGGGGTGGGGTGGGCACTGACATCCAGAAGGCAGAGGCCAGGGATGCCACTAAACACCTGCAGCACACAGGACAACCCTCCGTAGGAGAGATTACCTGGCCCACAGTGCCAACAGTGTAGAAGGTGAAACTCCCGATCTGCAGAGGGAAGCAAGAAAACATACTGCAACAGAAGAGGGGGAGCCAGCAAGCCGGCCTGCCCAGCCCTCCCCACTCACCTAAACAAGTAACCGGGGGAAAGAACCGGCATCTCAGAAGCACAAGCGAGGATGGGAAAGAACAGAGAAAAATACTCGAAGGACTAACGTCTGAAGAGGGTTCTCATCAAAAGGATTCTCATCAACTCCCAAAGTTTTTAAAAGAAAAATAAGAAGAATGAAGTAAGAGTCCTATAGATTATGATGCATACCACGAAGACATGTCCACAAAACTGATAAAATCTTACTATATCAAAACCAAGGCATTTTATTTCATTTTACTTTCTAAAAAGGTAAGTGGCTATTTAAAGCATACATCTATACTGGCAACAAGCAGGTGGAAATTCAGTTTTTAAAAAATTTATAATAGTTGCAAAAAGCTTAAAATATTTAGAAATGTATTTTCTAAGATACTATAAGACTTGTACACTGAAACTATAAAATGATGATGAAAGAAATTAAAGGGGCTGGCGCCGCGGCTCAATAGGCTAATCCTCCGCCTTGCGGCACCGGCACACCAGGTTCTAGTCCCAGTTGGGGCGCCGGATTCTATCCCGGTTGCCCCTCTTCCAGGCTAGCTCTCTGCTGTGGCCCGGGAGTGCAGTGGAGGATGGCCCAAGTACTTGGGCCCTGCACCCCATGGGAGACCAGGAGAAGCACCTGGCTCCTGCCATTGGATCAGCACAGTGTGCTGGCCACAGCGCGCCAGCCGCAGCGGCCATTGGAAGGTGAACCAACGGCAAAGGAAGACCTTTCTCTCTGTCTCTCTCTCTCACTGTCCACTCTGCCTGTCAAAAAAAAAAAAAAAAAAAGGAATTAAAGGACTAAATATATGTGTGTGTATGTATCATGTTCACGGGTCAAAGACTATCATTAAATATGTCAATTCTCCTGAAATTGATCTGAAGATTCAATACAATTAAAATAAAAATACCAGAAGGCTTCTTTCGAGAAAGTGACAAAATAACTGTACATTTTACTTGGAAAAGCTAAATGACCAAGAGCAGCCAAGAAAGAGAATAAAGTTGGAGGATTTATTCCACCTAGAGTACTAGACATATTATAAAGTCACAGTCATCAAGATATTACGGCCTCAGGGCCATCACTGTGGTGTAACCAGTAAAGCCACTGCTGATGAAGCCAGCATCCCATATGGGCGCCAGCTTGTGTCCTGGCTACTCCACTTCTGATCCAGCTCCCTGCTAATGGCCTGGAAAAAGCAATAGAAGATAGCCCAAGTGTTTGGGCCTCTGCCACTCATGTGGGGAATCCAGAAGAAGCTTTTGGCTCTTGGCTTCTGCCTGGCCTAGCCCTGCCCATTGTGGCCATCTGGGGAGTGAACCAGCTGATGGAAGATACCTCTCTCCAAACCCCCACCCCCATACCTCTGACTTTCAAATAAACTAAAAAAATCTGTAAAAAAACACTATGGCATCAACAAAAAATAAAAATACTGGAATATTTAGAAATAAAATTT